AGGTACCTTAGGTACATGCCATGCATGTGGTGAGATTTGACCAATGCTGTCATACATCGCACAGGAATCATGATGTGTCCAGAGTGGAAGACAGAGGATGGGTTCGAGATGCAGTTTGGTGTCAACCATCTGGGTCACTTCCTCCTAACCAACCTTCTGCTAGATCTCATCAAGTCATCCACCCCAGCCCGCATCATCAATGTCTCCTCCCTTGCTCACGAATACGGCAAGATAGACTGGGACGACATTCACATGCGAAAAGGATATAATAGTGGAAAAGCCTATACTCAGAGCAAGTTGGCCAACGTGCTGTTTACACGGGAACTTAGCAGGCGACTAAAACGTAAAGGTCAGCAAATGTCATTCGAGCCTAGGGCAACTTAATTCTGCAGAAGTTAAAGAGCGCCTCTAAGGAAAACATGTTTTCTCTGATTTTATCTGTTCAAATAAATATGGCCAAGCATCCAAATCAAATGCAGTTTAATTTGTCTTCAGAGCTCAGCTGTAAATATCTAAAAAGGGCTTTTTTCTGTTCATACCAAGATGCGAATTCTGAATGTACATTGCGTCATTCAGAGAAAACAGAGAAAACGAGGGGAACCCTCGCCCAGTGTTGGTAGTGGATAAACCCTTGTGAATGCCAATGAAAAACATGAACAGAAAAAAATGCTGATTTTTGCTCACTTGGTATTATGCCACTCTCTGACACAGGCACCGGGGTTTCTGTCAACGCAGTACATCCAGGAACTGTGACCACGGAGCTGGGCCGGCACGTGGTCAATAAGGGTGCACTCCTGGCGATTGCTCTTAAATTATTCTATCCATTCCTCAAACTGATCTTGAAGAGCAGCGTGCAAGGAGCTCAGACGACTATCTACTGCGCCGTAACTCCGGAACTCATGCACTTTTCAGGTTTTTACTTCAGGTAACCAAAGAAAGTTTGGGGGTAAATGGACACCCCTTATAATCATATCAGCCTATGCAACAATGACACTTTCATAATTATATCTTGGCGCTGTGTCATCTTCTTACGGAATTACGGAAGCGTGTAAGGGCCACTTGCAAAATTTTTGTCGAGTTACTATCTCGCGGCGAGATGGTAATTCGCCACGGCGAGACAGTAACTCGACAAAAAATTTGCAAGTGGACCTTATACGCTTCCGTATCTTCTTCCTCTCACTACGAGCTTTAAATTGCTGTAAACTGCAAAAAGCTTTGCTACTTGTATTCGAACCTTGCCATATGGAAAGCTGTCCTAAACTTGATGTGGTGTACTTTGACAGTGGTAAAAATTCATCTAGCGGTCCTTTTTATGAAAATTATATTACACTATGCTTCTTCCCACCTAGTGTTCGTCCAATGAACTTAAAAACTTCGTCAGTAGAAAATGTCACTCATTGTTCATAAGTGGTAATTTTTTTTCAAAAGATGTAAGCCACGTACGGACCACTGGCTACTATTTGTGTTATGAGGGCATACAGTACCTCCCGCTTTAGTTCCTATGGGCATCGTGCTTGAATGACAGAATGCATTTATTAACAGCATTCTGACACCGACACACGTTGTAGCACATTCGTCTGAGTGCACAATGTATGTTTTTATTCTAAGTACTAAACACTAATTCTTTAAGCTGAAATTTGTAAACTTCTACGCCTTTGTTTTTTAATCGTTCGTACGACTGGAATGGCGTGAGATGAACCACGCCCTGTATCCTTTATAGCCTTTTTGTAAGAACAACCTTTTAGTTCACCCTATATCCACTTTAGCCAATTTGCAGTTACAGTTCAAAACATGTTAATTCATTCATTAACATTATATGCTAAGTCTGCAGGCTATCCTTTATACCCATCGACGTAAAATAATTGCCAAACCCAGTCTATTACTGAGTAAGTTCCACGTGAAGAATAGGCTCTACTCTTTTTCACCATTATTCTCCCATGCAGTGATTGCGCCCAAAAGAAACCTGCTCCACTAGCCTTGGATGACGAAGCAGCTCGAAGATTGTGGGACATGAGTGCCCAGATGGTTGGCCTCCAAGAAAATTAGCAGGCCTTCTCGGTTTTTGAAAGTTCAACTCATAGGGACAAAACGCCTACCACAGCACTGCTATAACAGTTGATCTGTGTAATTTACGTATCAAGGATTAACAAGGGGTGGCGAAGGGGGGAGGGGCACAAATTGCCCCCGGAAGACCCGTGGGCAACTTTTTACTAAAAAAGCAGCAGTATGTTAGAAACAGTTCTACCACCTTTTGAGGGGGATGAGAATTCTTTTGTAGATTAAAAATATGGGCATTCGGTTTTTAAAATAACATCCATTTGCCTACCCCGGACCCAAGACCCTTGATACACCACTGATGACTGTTCTTTCTTGAATTTGTCTCTGGCTTTATAGGTTCAGTCTTAATACATTTGTAGCTCGGTTTTCTACACATTAAAGAGATGTCCTCAGTTACATGTATTATTGTTTACTTTAAAAATATTCTGAAGAAATTTTTCAGGCGGATGACAGTTTATTTATAATGAATATAGGTAATTTTCATGTTGGTGCTTGTTTATTATTATTGTTCATAATCTGTGCTTTCCGTCTCATATTCAAGTCATTATAGTGACATTTAAGCATTTCAAATGGTACACGACTTGCGACAGTGCATGTCAGCAATCAGGCTCGGAACCAACTCTCAAAAAGTAGTTAAAGATAATATTTCAGTAAATTACTATAAAGTTAATTATCCAGTTAGTTTTGCAATTATGCCTCAGTTTCAAGAATTACGCCATGGTCTGCATTGCTTCCATTATAATGTTGGCCCTATATACTCTTTATGCCTTTCCATTCTGCCTTTCTGTTCTTTGATGAAATTTGATGAAATGTAGCTATAGGGGAAAAATCTTTTCCCCAGTTTTCATGAGAAGACCCTCATAACTTGTGGTCTTAGTCTGTAGAATTGTTTCGCCATGACAAAAACGAAACAGAATATAACTAAGTTCATTCTTGGGCACATTTGACGCATAAAGCTGCAGGCCCTTAGGCTAGTAATATGCCACAGCGTGATACTTACTGATAATTTATGGCAGATTTGTTTAGTCAAAAGTTGGTGACCAAAGGTCGGAAAAAAATGAAGGATCGTTTTGACATGAGATCTAGTACCTGGGTGCAGATTGTATAGCTTAATGGCTTTGGGGTGACAGGGTTATAAGGGGCGGTCTCTGTCTCTGTATGATACCCTCGGTGTGTCTGGATATACATGTACATGAAAATTATCTTTAATATTGCCTTTATGCACTCAATTATTGCTTAGTCACGTGAAATTTCCGAACTCATTTCAAATGAATAAATTCAATCAGAAACTAGACAAAGTGAAAGCTTAACAAGTAATTTCCTCACTTAGAGGAATACTACATGTACATGTATACTGCTCAGTCCGCGTCACTTAGACCTCTCACAGGACTTAGAACAAGTCTACTTATCTGAGTCCAGCATTAAATACTCGGGATCAACGCACTCACTTCACAGAGCAGCCTCATTCACATGTCGTAGTGGTCGCATATCCGTTTCATGTTGTATATTCTACTAGTAATGGCTGCCGGAGATGAAACTGCAATGTTTGGGGTCAGTCCTGTTCTTGGCGCCCTTATTGTTGGTAAGTCGAAAGTCATCTTAGTCTCCCTTTTACAGAGTAGAAGGCTCTAAAACTTGTTGCTTTAGGAAAAGATAAATGACGATCTAATACACAATACAAAAGTGCTTAGGCAGTGAGGTGGAATGCAGGCGCAACTCCACACTACCTTCAGGGATATAAAACTTCATAATACACCGTGTGAGTTGAGATAATTTTACGTTCAACTGTGGTCCAAGGCATACCTCACACACACAGCTTAATGCCGGCTTTCCTGCTTGTCAAAGTAAGTTGGGTATAGCTGTGTTGTTTTATTAAGTAATAACTCTAGTCGTTTCCTTTTATTCTCCAACCTTTCAGACACTACCATTCAAAGTATTTCATATATCAGATGTCAGTATTTGTATACCCAGCAAGAAATGAGACCGAGGGGTACCCCCCAACATGTCCAATCCCTGTACACATTCCAGACTATTGTTACTTAACACATCCCCCCAAGATATCTGAAAGGAATTCCCCAGATTCCTGCGACAGTGCGAGACAATGACCAACACAAAGCAGGGGGGGTTCTCTCCGTCTCATACCTTGTTGCATATGTGTATTTGTCCTGATGATTGACCCTATCAGCAACTGCTCGCAGTCCTGTATTGAAAGCACTGTGGCTTTTCTACTGTAGGTTCGCAGAAAGCGAAATGGAATTTCTTTTCGGATATAAGTCCACTTGTTTGAACTTTTATGCATTCCTTTTCTCACAACTCGCCATCGACGTTGCAATTGCTTCAACACAACGAGCCAAGATTAGTGCCAACGTACGCCGAATTTTGTATGTACTGTTGTTTCCAAGATAATCCGCTCCTTTCTTCATGGTAATTGTGCATGTAACAATAGTTTCTAAGGACGCACTGAATTGAACCATATGTTTGGCGATAGAGCGAATCTTAAGTCGGAATACTGGGGTGGGTTGTCCTCCAAATTATCCCCAAATATTGCTCGCAATTATTTGTCGAACTGGTATTAAAGTCTAACATGTTCCTGCTCTATTCCAGTGCTTGAAAGAGCAAATTTGCCAATACTGTTTCCCTCAAAAGTTAATCCTTATATTGTGGCTGCTTAATCGTCAGTTGGAGGGACGCTGCTATGGTTACTGCGAAGGTATCTCGCAGGAGGATGGTGCTACAGCAAGGCTCGTCTAAATGGTAAGACCGTCCTCATCACCGGGGCAAATACTGGCATAGGCAAGGAGACAGCCAGAGATCTGGCCAGGAGAGGTAGGTCTGCTCGATTATCCAAAAAAGTACACCAAACAGAAAAGATTAATTAATGCTTTCTGCACGTGGGGTACGATGTGTGCAATAGATTAATCACAAACTTCGTCTTCGGTTCTTGGTAATTGGCTACAACCTGCAAGTTCATGTTTGTGTGAAAGATTCTACGAAGAACAGTAGGAAAAACTCTGTGTAAAGCCAACTGCGTAGGTGAATTGGTTCATGTGCTGTTTGCCAAATATTCATGGTTAATGCTCGTTATCCGGAAGTGTCTTACAGGTGCGAGTTCCAATTGTGCATTGAGGTCAACACAGACCAAAATATGCCAAATTATACTACTGCTATTCGGTGGATATGTTCAGGTGTCCAAATGCTAGCATGAATGTAGCTATTGCAGCTGTAGAGGGAGAAGGTGCTCTTCTCTCCTCGAAATTAAACCAATAAAAAGGAAAAGTAAAAAAGGGAAGTTGAAGAAACTGGATAGAAGTGACACCTTTCTGGTGTCCATCGTTCTTTAGTCTATTACCAATGAGTGCTTTTCCCTGGGAATGAGTCACACCTTCCTGTTCTTCGGCCCTTCCTGTTAACTCCCCGTGGCTTCATTGCAAATTGTTCAAGTATTATGAAAAGTGCAGCAACGGGCTAATGGAATATTGGTTCATTAAAATTAAATACCACATAATTCTGTAAATGATAAAACATGAATAATCGCAAATATAAACAAGCCTTGTCTTGTTAACTTTATTGATAGGTGCCCGGGTGATTTTAGCGTGCCGTGATCTGGCCAAAGCACAGGCTGCCCTCGCAGAGATCCGAGAAGACACTGGTAACAGAAATCTGACTGTGGTCAAACTAGACTTGGCTTCCCTTGCCTCAGTGAGAGAGTGTGCAGAGAAGATCAAAGCAGAAGAGTCCAGGCTAGATATTCTCATTAACAATGCAGGTAAAATTCTATCAAATATTGCAGAGGAATACGAAAACAATTTCAGTGGAATGATGAAACATTTCTGCAAATGTCAAAACCCAAAATTAACTTCATTTTACGATTGTAAATTGATATGGGGAAAATGGCCTTACTTTTTACAGAGAATCAGAAGAAAAGTTGCCTTTAATTGAAAGCCTGCATAATGATTGTGTAACGTTGATTGGGTACCTTAGGTACATGCCATGCATGTGGTGAGATTTGACCAATGCTGTCATACATCGCACAGGAATCATGATGTGTCCAGAGTGGAAGACAGAGGATGGGTTCGAGATGCAGTTTGGTGTCAACCATCTGGGTCACTTCCTCCTAACCAACCTTCTGCTAGATCTCATCAAGTCATCCACCCCAGCCCGCATCATCAATGTCTCCTCCCTTTCTCACGCCTATGGCAAGATAGACTGGCACGACATCCACATGAACAAAGGATATGACAGGAGAAAGGCCTACCGACAAAGCAAACTGGCTAATGTGTTGTTTACACGGGAACTCAGCAGACGCCTGAAAATTAATGGTATTAATCACCTCTTTTAAAAACACTCAACTACTGTAACTCGGGTTAGCAAAGTGACTGATTTTGGTTTTTACTGATTCACAGTGAAGAAAATTAATTACTTTTCTTAAACGAATAAATGAATTTGTTTTTGTGTTCAAAGAATCGGTAGGAATGGATGACATGTTCCAGGTACCGTCACGACCCGTTTTGCTTCATTGCTGCTTCCCCGACACCCTTGACGGCAGTACACACACCAAAATTACTTTCCCAGAGTAATATTGTGTCTGTCAAATCACTTTAATTTGACAAATCTCTTGGATGTATATCTAGAGTTTGAGGTGACCGTGAATGCTGTGCATCCAGGTGTTGTAGCAACTGAACTGGGTCGTCACATGATGGAATCAGGTAGTCTGGCAGCTCGTGCCGTCAACGTGCTGCGCTTCACACCGATCATGTGGATGTTCAAGAATGCTGTACAAGGGGCCCAGACAACCATCCACTGTGCAGTAACTCCGGAGCTTCTTAACACGTCAGGACTATACTTCAGGTACGTGCAGAGATAAGAGACACCAGGCAATGTCTTCTAAAATTACCCTCCTGTCACGTTTGCATGCTTCACTCTCATAGTCCTATCCCAAGGGTGCATGTCTATCATAATTTTGATTGATACACGGAGGCGCAGTTTGTGAAATGCATGGCAGGTCACCTTCTGCCATAATCAGTCCACGTAAGTGTTAACCTCGGGCTTTCCGACTAACAAATTCTCTCAGATGAGAACTCGAATTGATTATACATCTGAGGTTATGAGCCGATGTGTCTGTCACGGTGGATACGAGCAAGGCATGCGTGCACCTGCCATACTGATCAGTTGTAATTGACCCTTTGCTCAGGTGGGTTGGAAGGCTAAACTGGCAAGCTCAAGTCACGTGACAGTAACGTGATTGAGTGACATTTACACACATATTTATTTATGCAAAATAAAAATAGATTTTTTTATGTAATTGGGAAGTATTTTTCCATTCAGAACACATTTCTTTGATTTTAACGAGGGAATTTAGACGAAACTTGAATGATACTGAAAAGCCCGCCAAAATATACGGGCATCTCCAGCCTGAGTGGAATCACACTTTATCAGTTTCATTTCAACTTTCTCAGTTTTTGTGGACGGCTGTGGTTCATACAAGTAGGAAAAATAGCTTCCACATGTCAATATAGCTTTGTCGACTTTACCTCTTTAAAGTGGATCCCCTGACATACCGGGATGAAACTTTCCTGAATTCGCATTCTCCAGTCAGGCAATGTGAAATTCAAGTTGGCAAACAGGTAGTCCCTCCTGTCACTGTGTATGGACGCTTGGTGCGAAATTGCTGCCGCGTTTCAATTCATATCTTTATTGAATGCAAGATATCAGTTGTATTAAGAATTTGAAGAGTATGACAGGGAAGTACTGACACTCAGAGAAATACACTTTTCGAAATGGCGACCTGAATGAAACGATTCCCATCATTTCTCTTTCCACTTTTCTACCTTATAGCGACTGTGCACCGAAGGAACCTTCTCAACATGCACTGGATGATGACGCGGCACGGAGACTCTGGGATCTGAGTGTGGAGATGGTCGGCTTACATGAAAAATAGAAAACGATTACTTGGTTGTCTTGGATGTGATCGATGAATCCAATTGTTATTTAAAAAAAATAGACATGTTTTGCGTACGTTTTGAATTTTTTTCAGACAAGGAAATGGCATTTGAATTATTAACGTACGAATGCGCCTATTTAGTAGGTTGAATATTTTTCTCTTTGATCTGGGAGCAGGCTCATTGATTTTGGGAAATGAAACCCAGAGCTCCTGTCCTTATACCGCTATGTCTCTGAAGGTGAGACAAATACTATAGGAGTCGGGTTTGTGACTGGCTAACCCGCAGCGTCAGGGGTTCTGCTCCCGGTTACATGATGTGACTTTGGGCAAGTCACTTAATTCCCCCTTGTCATTCTTCACCCAGGAGTAAAAATGGGTACCTGTTAGGGCAGAGACAGTTAATGTGCACTGAAATGGCAGTATCGAGCTGTATACGTAGGAGCGCTGTATAAAAATTTGTTGATATGTAGGGGAGCCGTGCCGGTGTAAAGGGTAATCTCACTGTTTTGATATTTTACTGTAAAGAATATGCATGATTTCGGATCCAATCCACATTGTATCTCGGTGATTTTTATATCCGTATCAAGTTGTTACTCTCTAGTTGACCTTTAATTGTGCTTCCCACAAAAGGTGTAGCCTATGCCTAGAAAAAAAGAGTTCTAAGGTACCTTTTGCCACTCGATGAAGAAGCTTATTAAAGTATGGTTCGGTCGTACAGTTTTGCCCCTTATCTATGAGACACCCTTTCTGACTTTATTAGTAGGCCTACAAAAAAATAATAAAATGAAAATAATAGATATGAAGAAACTAATATATAGGACGAAAGTGAACTAAATTTAAAACGAAACAAATATATAAAGTGCGAAAGAAGTACATATAGAACGAAAACCAATCCATGATATAAGACAAAAGTACATTTAAAGGACAAAGGTGATAGATATATCGGACGAAAACTAATAAATAATATACGACAAAACTCATATATAAACGACGAAACTAATAAATAGGCCTAGAGAACGGAAATAATATATTGGACGAAACTAGTAATATAAAACGAAACTAAAATATAGAACGAAACTAAAAGACTGTGGAACGAAACTAAGGTCACTTAAAAAATAGTTTCAAATCAGTTGGATTTGCAAAAAAACGAGGAGGTAGGAGGTTATTTTTTTTAAATACTTTGGTATGAATGCTGATCTGGACGTACTGCCGCAACCACAGAACGAAAGCGCCATGTTCACTTTAGACTTGTGCACAGAAGTGCACATACAGTGTATGTACATGTACTCAGGTCGCAGTTTGTGCGTGCACGAGGTTGTGTGGGCGTTTTAGAAACTACGGGGGACGGCTAAGGACATCGGAAAAGACAACTTTATAAAAACAACGAAAAACACGCAGCAAGATTTTTGAGGCAGGCACTGACGCTAAACATTTTTTTTTTCATGTGGCCTAATACACATTGAACGAAACTATGATAAATATAGAACGAAACTAATAAATAGGACGAATCGCCGCCACCTCGACGCCAGACCGGTTGTAATATAGACCAAAATGCAAAACATATAGAACGAAAACGTAAAATGTATAAGACGAAGCGCAACCTACCGACTGGTTAGCGGACGTCGCTCCTAACCAAGATGCAGAGCTTTTTCAATTGCTCTGAAGTGATGCGGATCTTTCTCTACTGTTCCGGAATGTTAGGACGATACGGAACAATTGAGAACGCCCCTCATCATGGTGAGGCCACATATAACGTTGCCGGTTGCTGCTATGGTCATGCCGATTGTGCTTGACCACGTTGTTGACAGTCGGCCAATGGGCACTGCTGCCAGTGTCAGGCATGACGCGCCGTAACACTGGCAGCGACAGTAGTAGGCGTAGTGGGTATAACATTAGTTGCAACTAATTCATGGAAAGTAGGGTTTTGAAGGAGGTTGTCAACTACTTCTCATACACGAATGTTCACATTATTTTCCGACTCTCGAGCCACGGATCAGGATCACAGCTCCACTCGATTCGACAAATCTCTGTGACAAGTAAGGTGTGGAAGGCCTATTGTGACGTCCCTTGTATCATCAAGAGTATTAGGGGAAGTGTTCCACAAGAGTTACGGACAACACTAATTTTCCCATGAAATGTTATAACAGGTGTTATAAAGTGATTACATATCCCAACAAATGAAATTTAGCAAGGAAAATTCCAAAGCATTTACTTAAAAAACAGAATTTATTTTCAGACGAGTATCAAATAGTTATATCAAAGATGGATTTTCACTGGGGAGATGGAATTAACTTTGGACTTTTGCCCTGAGACATTCCTGATTCCCCCCCCCCAAAAAAAACAACAATCGAACTGACTGGGCATGAAGTTTATGAACTGAACAATTATGGAGAATAGCCCTTTTTATTTTGCCATACTAACACTGACATGGGACAGGCGGACGTCACCTGGAAATGTCTTGGATGAAACACGTGAAAGAAGTGAGCACAAAAAGAATTTTTAGAAAGTTTTAGAATTTTGTTTATGTTTGTAGTACAAATGCCGTTTTACCAATCACTCTTTGTTGGATTTCCCTCGTATCTGGAATGCCCGACCTCCTGACACCACGGACAGTATCCTCCATGGACCCATCTCTTGTTTAAACAATCTCAGATCACAATTTCTTAAGCAATATATTTGTCTCATCTGCAATCAATTTTCCTGTGACTGTTCCATATCTGAATGCAATTTCACAATTGGGTGTTTAGAGCAATATTTTATATCAGTCTTGTCTGTACAATCTTTTATTAATTTTGTGTGAATCATTTTAAATTCATACATGTCATATTTAGCTGGATTAATCTTTTTATTTATTTTTTTTTTGGTATTTATATAGTATATAAATGCCTTTCAACAATTACTGTTGTTGGATTCTCCCGTCTCTGGAATGTCCTATATACCTTTTGAAACCACTGCGAGTATCCTCCATGGTCTCAACTCTTGTATAAACAGGTCACAATTTTTTTTACCAATAAATTTGTCCATTGAGCTATTAAAAGGGATTTGTCTTATTTGAAATCGATTTTCCTGTGACTGCGCCATATCTGAATACAATTTCATAACTGGGTGTGTACAGTAATTCTTTATACTAGTTTCGTCCGTACAGTCTTCTATTTATTTTGTCTGAATTATTTTTAACACATAGGGCCTAATACAAGTACTACTTTAGCTGGGTTTTATCTCAGTACTTTTGTCTATTATTTATCAGGGAGCTATTTTTTAATAGCTCCACGGTTTTATGTTTTGTATGTTTGTAGTACCACCGTGACCAGGATAGCATTTGACAGTGATTAGATTCACTTTTGGTGCTCCTTCGGGGGTAGTCCTGCATTTACAACTGTCTTTGTATTTGCTGTTTGTCCATAACGGTTTAGTTGTCATGAGAGGTAATTGTAGCGGACATTGTGTATTGTATTAACCATCAATGTTAGCTCTTGAGTACCATTTAATAATAAGCCTGTCTAAAATTAGTGGTTTTTTTCAATTCCTTTATTATATATTGCACATTTATAAAGTTGCATATTTTGTTAATTATTTTCAGCGAAACCTAACTTCAAACTTCCAACTTCCGTATGTGGTAAACCTCAGTACAATCATGGAGGTCCTTCCTCCATGGTACAATCAGCTTCAGTATTGTGAACTTCTACATAATCTGCTTCAATAGCCTGCTTCTCCACCTTTCTGCATCTACGCCGGTTGTTCCACATTCCGTTTTACGTAACTATACACGTACATGTACTTACCAGGAAATTAATGCTAGTCTAAAGCAACAGTCAGCTATAGTAATAAATGAAATGAAACTCTGAGCGAGGCGTTTCTACACAATAGTGTGCCACGGTTCAAAGCTTCTCGGGCCCAACCGAGGGGCAGCCGACGCGTCGGCTCCCGTCGCGACAGTGATGTCTTTCCAGTGTGTTGTGTGTTCGCATGCATGCATGGTTTGATGCAATTTGACCTCCTGCGTTGACTAGGTTTGAACGAAAACTATTCACACGGAAGTGTACTCTGCGCAACACACATTTTGTCAACCCACACTTCTCAATTTCTAGTGCGCTTCTCTCGCCAATAGAGAGTTTTTCACAAAATGATGGTCTCCACCAAAGTCTTTCTCTTAGCCTGTTTCGCTTTTCTTAGTTTCGCTGGGTTTGCATGGAACCTAGCGATGTGGAGCTTGCTGACAGGGCTTGCTGTACTTATTATCGCGGTTCTGTATCTTCACAGGTGCGCGTGGCCTGAACGTCTTCCACCGAGAGGAAAGTCCGTCTTCATTACAGGTAAAAGTGATCAGTAAAAAACTAAGCAGTTCTGTCATTGAAATAATACTACACTTTCCTTAGGTCGGCAGCTCTAGAATTAGAGATATAGTGTGTCAACGATAGGTTAATTCACCATCATTACAAATTAATGCAAACATTAAAAGCAAGCGTAAATTATGCACTGGATAGAGAATGACAAGTGGGATGTTTTATCGACTGCAGTTCCAAGGGCCAAGTAGTGGGAGGGGGTGTTCGAATTCCCAATCAGTCGCTGATTCATTTACTAGTAAAATAGTGTGCGCATTTACGTGGAGTTTCTAACTTATTCTTAAACTGTATGAGAATGCAAGAACAGCAACTTGTTCAAGACTTTTTGTGGGGCGGCGTGCCTCAACTGGCGACCCCCTACACGAAGGACTCGCCTTTAATAAAGAAAAATTTTCTGACAAGAAGTAGGTTTGCCCCTGCAAGAGAAGCACACTCAGACACCGGTTTGCATTTGTGGGCGCAAAGGGGAGTTGGCTGCCTGCCTGGCTATATAGCTGCTGTTTCAGTGGCTTAGCTATGATTTTACTAATGGGGGCACAAGGGGGCACCAGAATCTTATGGGGGCAGCTTGTGGTGGTCTATTTTTTGGGGGGGAAGCTTTTGCCCCAGGCCCTCCCCCATGGCTACACCCCTGTACTGTTTGGGAGAATCGAAAGAAGAGATAAACGAGTGCAGAGCTATAAGAAGACACCAGATTTGATCACGATTGACCACAAGAAACAGTGGCTATATGGTGACTTATTTTATGCAGGCAACCAAGCGATTTCGTCAACGATTTTGTTAACGAGTTTGAAGTTCTTTCTTTTTCGATTAAGGTTGTGACAGTGGTTTCGGAAATGCGACTGCAAAGCATTTGGATGCTCTTGGGATTCAGGTCTTTGCAGGCTGTCTGTTTCCAGGCGGTGAGGGCGCTTCTCGGCTGAGAGCTGAATGCTCGGATAAATTATGTGTTATCCCATTGGACGTTACTGAGCAGGAGGATGTTGACGCAGCCATAGCAACCATCACAAAATCCACTGGAGATGAGGGTAGGTAGACACTCTACAGCTTAGCAGCAGAAAGACAGAGAACTGCAGACAAAGGCGAAGATATAACCGGATAGACCACTGCAGGCGCATGAAAACAGCCAATGGGCTTACCAATACAGGAAATGAAATAATTTTCAATTTTACGGCTAGCAAGCGCCTGGTTGAAATGTATGCCCGATAAATCTTCCTTTGAAGAAGTTTATGAGTGAGTGACGTTCACATGTATAATATAATGCAGCAACATGTTGATAACATTATGTTTCTTCCCCAGTGCAGGTCTTTGGGGAGTGGTTAATAACGCAGGTATCTGCCTCTGGTCTAGGCTGGAGGTCACGCCCATGGAGACAATCCAACAACATCTGGATGTGAACCTGCTCGGTCAGATCCGTATTGTCAAGGCAACGCTTCCACTATTGCGCAAGTCCAGAGGTCGAGTCATCAGTATCAACAGTACAAATAGTACGTGAAACCATGACGCCACATTTTGTTTACTTGTGCACTCTCCTTATGAGTTCAGTGGACTGTGGGCCCCCATAGGAAAGTGCACCTATAAACAAAGCGTGAAGTCATCAGTCACATAGTACATGTTGCTTATTGATCCAGACAAAAGTCATCAAGGTTGCAAGGGGATCAAAATGAGTATTATACTGTTGAGCTTTCCTCAGTACAATGCTGGAATCGCTGATCAGAACACGCAAAAGGAAAGAAATCCTTGAAACTGTTTGGTCTGAATTATCTGCACGTACGAAAGTCACATTTATAAGAACTTGACCAACTACGTCAAACCCAAGCAATAGACCTTTCCACCAATAAATTCATAATTATGCACGCCTGCGCACAAATGGCCTTGGCGGTAAGAAGTGTGAGCGGGCCATTGAAAACGTACAAGGGTGCGATTTTGATCACTTTCTCTCAGCTTTTCTGTCTTTGGTCATTTTTTTCTTCAGAATATCCCATTAAATCGTTTTTGCTATTAGTTTCAAACCTAAGCGGGAGTTTTAGTGCTCTGTAAAAAGACTTTGCAAATAAAATGGCTATTAATAGTGTATAAGTGAACCTAATGTGCCATAATGTGTTCGGAGAACTGAACTTGTAAACATGATTTTGGAGGAATTTGTGCGTGATCTTGGAAGGGTGTGATGGTAACAGCAACCTCCCTGACAAACAGGTTATTTCTACATGACGCTGTTTGGGGCCTACGGCATATCCAAGGCGGCCGCCGAAATGTTTAGCAATGTGTTACGACTTGAATCAAGGAAGTGGGGAATCCAAGTGATAACCATTCATCCAGGAGGCTTCCGAACTGGTGAGAAATAGCAGCATATTGTTGATTATTTCTAATGATTGGATAAGACTTGAAGCTATGCATGGTGGAAGTACTAACTTAGGTTAGGTTTGCGGTTGCACCATGTACAAGAAAATATCTCTTCTATGAGTGCGTGGTTCTGAGAAGATCCGATGGTGAACACACGCGACGTTCCGAACAGCATTCTCAGTTCGTCTTCAGGAGGGTGACTCTCCTGGTGCAATCTCGAGCCTAACTTCCTAATGGTTGTTTCCACTTGGTTGCTCTCCAATTTCGTATTGATGTCTGCATGATCTATTCGTATAATTAATGTTGCTGTTTGTCATCCGTCACTGGATTTGTTTCTTTGCATGTGCATTCCATTTAATTTTTCTGTCTTGTAGCTGGCTAATTGCTCCAAATTTTGTCAGTGTCTTACAATATTGGAAGACGCAAATCTTTGTTGTTTAATTTCTTGTTTTTTTACTCGTGACACACCACTGACTGGCGGTCTTGAATGAAGACGATGGAAAACGCAAGTTTACTTGAAGGAAGAAAAGCTCATTGTATTCTGCGGCAGGCCCACATAAACGAGCCGAGATAAACCCAATTCGCATGGTGTGCCCGCGGATTCAACCCGCGTTATATTGATATTTATAATCCCTATTTCAACTTTTCTACAATGTGATGTTTCAACAGGCCTCGTGACCAACCTAAACAGCATGCGTCAATATCTACAGAAGTGCAACGATCAACTTAGCGCTGACCTTAAGCAGTATTACACACCGGAATACTTCCAGGCAATGCTCGATAATAATGGCGCCTCAACTCTTCCCACGGATCTGTCACCTGTTTGTCGCACAGTGACAACAGCGTTATTGGAGAGGGCGCCCAGTACCTGCTATAGGTGTGGTCCGTTTGCAGGTGTGATGGTCCGTTCGGCTCAGTTTTTGCCAACTCCGCTCTTCGAATTCTTTGTTCGCAACAGCAAATTGTTTAACAAGGAACTGAAGGTCTTAATCCGCATACGATCAAAGATGACAGTAAACTCTAGGTCTTTGGCCTTTTTACGCTACCGGTAATCGGTACCTTGAACAGAGATGGTTCTCATAATCACATCAGTGTTCCTCACAAATTGCAAAATACCCAATTAACTCATTACTTATTCGGCAATTAATTTCAGTCTGCCAACCTAAGGAAAAGCCTGTAAAAGCCCGGGTGCGATTATGCTTTTTTTGGGGGGGGGTCGTTACTGCACTGAAAATCACGAGTGTACCACAAATGCATGTGCATTGATGTAATATCAATCATAACAATTATTGAGCCTTAATTATATATTAACATTGTTTATTCAATGGATTTCTATATCAGCAAGTTTTGTTTTTGTCACACCCACAAATATTCCCTTTTGGGGATGTGGAAAGTGTTAACCACCTGTATCTATCAATTAACTGTTTACTGTAGTTTAATATGGCTATTATTATACGGCCCTTGTCTCAAAATTATATCTCAAATATATTATACGGCTCATTTTATTTTTGATTCTAATGCTAACAATAACATGGTCCGGAACCCTACTCCTATAAAACGTGAGAGAGCTACATGACGTTTCTTTTTGTTATACCATGGTAATAAACTGTGAATTTTTGTTGGTCGTACATTGATCAAATGATATGCCTCAAATACGCAAATACATCAGTAAGGAATTTCTTAAGCGATGTCCGCCATGGTTTGCGAGTTACGTACCTATACCCTGTACCCACAAGATCCATTAAACTGGTTCCCGTCCAATTCGTAGTCTCCAGACGTCTTACAGACGTCCTCCGAAAGTAAGGACCGGTAGCGGCTAATGAATCCGGCAGAATCCTGCCAGTTTTATGTAAACTGAGGGAACGAAGCCCGCTCAATGCACATATCAAGCATGAGCTTATAGAATATTTTGCTTTTTCTTCTTTGTTAACGAAACTAATTTCGCCATAAATTGTTCATTTTTCTAAAATTTAACACTGATTAACCACTGATTTGAAATAAAATGCAGTAAAATGATTTATCGATGATAATCATTTAAAAGGAAATTACCACACTGCGATCAACAGAGGCTTAGAAAGGGTAGGTACTTGTATTTTATTCGCTTCTCCACAAGGGGAGCGGGTTAGCATAGCAGCTCTTTTCTTGCTTTGCACCATTGAGGCCCGGGTTCGAGTTCCAGCCTGGCCCAGGCTTTAAGTGCATTTGGTTACTCGATCTCGGAGGTTTTCTCCGGGTACGCCGGTTTCCTCCTGCCTCTAAAACTGGCCATTTTTCCTAACTCTGTAATGTGATGCTGATTAATAAAGTGTATGAATAAACTACAATAATTGGTGCAAATAACCTGAGTTTCTGAAAGCGCCATTAAAACAAAACAACAACAACTCCTCCGCTATAGCGCTAGACGTAATTCACGTGAAAGTGTTTGTACTGGCCTGACAAAAACTTAAATATTCCAGTATCTAAATTGACAGAGCTAATCGTATACCTTAAATTGCAGCTAGCTGCCGGTCCCTATGTAATAGGAATAGGGAAAAGTTCAAGGATTCATTCCCTTCCCTCGCTCGGATGGCCTTGCACAGATTTTAGTGGAGGAAATACGTCACATGGGGTCACAGCTAACGACACGCAGAGCATTGTGGGTAAATTTCTGCCAGGCGCGCGAGCTCGCTCAATGCGTTACATAAGCGGCGGTTATCAGTTCAATATTTTTTTTCTTTTACTTCCTCTTACCACACTGTGATTGTACCAAGGCCATGTTTTTTATGATATAGCCAACACTTTGTCGAAAAATTGCCATTGGCAAACCGAAGTATTTAAATAGCGCTTCGCTAGAAGGAAGTGATAACCTAGCGGTCGCTGGTCATGCACAATGTAGCCAATTACAGTGCAAGTTCACACACCCTTGCAGCGCCCTTGGGTGCTGGGGTGACTAGCGAATCCATCACCTTGATCTTTCGAGCGCGCTGGTCAAAGTGACGTTTCCATGTATTGTATCTTTTACCGCGACGTTAGATACGAGGTTGTAGGGAAGCTGGTATTATGAATTAATATTTCTATGAGATGTGCTATAAGGGAAGGTGAAGTACTATCTCTGATATGACCGTCATCAGTTCTGTTTATATCTGCGGCCTCGGTGCCATTTAGCCCCTCGGGTGTACAAAGGACTACGGAACCCTACTCTTGCAGACAAGACTTAGGCTGAAAAGTGCCATGCTTGTTTTTAAACATTTCAAATTTTCCATGCTTTCCTCGACAAAGAAAACCAGTTAAATTGTATTTTTTAAAGTCACGCCGGTCGGCCGGAAGTGGCCTGCAATGTTGTACTTTTTGGCGGGACTGAAGAAGTTTGGCGGGTTTCCAAGGATTTTTTTCGGGAGTGCTGTGCTGTGCTAGACAACTGGGTAGATGGTCGTGGTGATGGCTCCGCTGGGAATCACATAGATTGTGGCATCTTTCAAATATAATTGTCCAAGCAGTTTTCATTATTTAGTGACGATGAAATAAAAGGAATCCAGCCCGTTTGAAGTACCCAAGTCTTTTGCCTGCTGAGTTTTCTGTTTTGCCTGGCCTCTAATTCCCCCCTTCAGTGGTGGGCGGACCGCCACCCCCGGAGCGTTTGGCTGGGGGCCAGACCACTACAAAAAAAGTTGAAAATCCGATTAAATGAGACCAAAAAATGTATATACAGGAACCAGTTATTGCCTGCCTCCTTGAGGAAAATCCAACTATGGACAAAAATGTGCCAAGATTCCATGCTTCAAGACACAGTGGGTTCTCTTAAAAAGCCCACATTATAGAGGGTTTGCATGGCTGCCATCTTGCAGGCAAGTGCTTTTGTTCCACAAGGTATGCACAGAGGTTTCCCTGTGGAACATAACAACTGCCCTGCAAATATGCTAACCCCCCCCCATGACTCATTAATCGTGTGTTTCATCAGTGGCCCAGTTACGACTCTCGTGTAAATGTTTGCACTTCAAATTAATCCATCGTGGCATCACCGACCTTTGCAATGTCTACGTTAATTTTGGAACGTGGACTTTTATCTTCTCCGATGTGAATCACATATATTTTACTTGATGTTAACGTTCAGCGTTGTCAATACTGACCATGAATCATGCACAATATCAATGCTTCAGTGTGCGTCTCCCCACTTTCAACTGGTCGTATCTGCGGTTCAACTTCTTAGCGCTATAGTATACATGTATTGCCTTCTTAAATAAAGTGTCTATTGTGGTGTTTACAATCAGCAAGATTCCTTTTATTCTGATATTTTGTAAAATAAGTTGTGTATTTTATGTCCACAACTTATTTTACAAAAAAGTGGTATCATGCGATTGAATTGTACGGCAACAAAAACATCAGCGACAACAAAGCAAACAAGATATAGGATAACCTTGCAAAGAGATGACTGCTCATTGTTGCACGCTGTGTTTAAAGTACTCAGGTCTTGGATATAACTTAAGTTCATTTATCTTTGTGCCTTGAACTTGTTGAATGGGGAATGGATAAATGGTCCATAAATTAGACTTTCGGTGGGAAATGGTAGCATCACAACGAATCAACTAAATGAGGAATCAATGGACGTCCTTTGTCCTTAAGCGCATAAACCATTAATTTTTCTCTGTATGAAGTATGCTTTAACATCGGTCTAATGGAGTTGCGCAACAGGGGGAGACTTTTGACCAAACCACACATGCACACGAGCGTTTGTCATAATACTCTCCGATAATTTGTGAAATGGACTTTGATCAATCCTATAGGTGAATCAAGGCAACATACTGTCTCTGTCGAGTCATTCGATTAACGCTATAGGCTGTATCAATTTTCGCATAGTCTGTTACCATACAAGTTTTGAGCGTTGGGAAACTTACATGTTCATGGTTCAGATTTGCAAAGATAACGTTTGCTATATAGATTTGTGCATTACAATACTTAACATTATGTCCTAGAGTGTCATCCTTACGAGTCGATCGCTCAGAAGCCACTTTATATATAATCAACGCTCACCACTCTGTGCTTCATAATGCTATCTACGACGGTTTGTCTCTCAGCCTGTCTAGTTCTAATTATCACTTGCTTTTCTTGGGAGCTGTCAATGAGGAACATACTTATCGGGCTGGGTTTTAGTGCTTTCGTGGCATACCTTCGTAAATATGTTGGGCCCAATCTCCTACAAGTTGAGAAACAGTCTGTCTTCATAACAGGTAAAATCATACCAACAGGGTTTTATGAGCATGTCATTGCCGAAAATTCTACTTTGTACATGTACAACTTTCGTGACAAGAGTGGAATTTATCAATTTACGAAAATTCAGAGAGGGCATTGTCTACCAAAGGGTTTTAATGTCCTTGTTCAGTCGTAATAGCGTGAAGCATGGGCTTAATGGCAGATTGCGCGGGAATTAAAAGCGAAATCGGTGAGTACAAATTTTAAGATGAAGACGCTAGTTCAATTAGGCCTATTGAGATAAAAATGTATTTTATAACCGGCGAACAAACCATTTGTTCCTTGAATAATTATTTGCTTGTTGGAATGATTGGATTGCTTTAATCCCCCGATTTCAAGGTTGTGACAGTGGTTTCGGCCATGCAACTGCAAAGCATTTGGATGCTCTTGGGATTCAGGTCTTTGCAGGCTGTCTGTTTCCAGGCGGTGAAGGCGCTTCTCGGCTGAGAGCTGAATGCTCGGAAAAGCTACGCGTAATCCCATTGGATGTTACCAAACAGGAGGATGTTGACGCTGCCATAGCAACCATCACACAATCTATTGGAAATGAGGGTAGGGAGATAAGATATTGTCCAAAGAACCTGTGCAATCAAACAGCAGAGAGACAGATAATTGGATACAAAGATAAGGAGCAACCGACAGATATTTAACCTTATGAAAAAAAGGCTGATGCAGCTATCGTTTATCACTTCTATGGCTGGGTAAGACGAATCTCCCTTTGGGAGGTGTGTCTCGTTCAAATGTAACCTAGGTTTTTCTGCCCTTGCAGGCCTATGGGGAGTGGTTAATAATGCAGGTATCTGCCTTTGGTCTGAGCTGGAGGTCACGCCCATGGAGACAATCAAACATCATCTGGATGTGAACCTGCTGGGTCAGATCCGTGTTGTCAAGGCAACACTTCCTCTATTGCGCAAGACCAGAGGTCGAGTCATCAGTATCAACAGCGTAAATAGTACGTCTTACCATATGATGCAGTATAATCTAATGTTTGCCTGTGTTATAATTATTGAAAATGGGTCACTTTGGAGACATTCCCATAGGAACGTGCACACAATTTTTCAAACTTTACCGTCCCATAATTCAATATTCCCCTTATCCAATCTTAACCAAACTTTGCATGTTTTCCTTTCAGACACTATTATATCATCTCTCAAAATGTGGACGATAAAATTTTTCCTCCTTTTGGTAGTTGGAGCATTAGGGAGACTGTCTCCCTAATGACCGATGTCTCCATAATGTTGAAAAATTTACCACAAAATGTCTCACAAGTGACCTATTTGGAAATATTATCGACTGACTATATAGCTTGTGACCTGTTACTTTGTTTGAAGTGTAAAAGTGTTCAAAACTGATAATGATATATTGCTGTAGTGCATTGCTTGTTTGGCAGTACAAAGCAACTCTTCCATATCATGTTCATGCGCAAAGACACAAGTTACCCCCGAGTTGAAAATGAGTTCTTAAGATTTTTAGTTCCACCATATCTCTATCCCCAAAACATACTTGAACATGAACTTAAAGTTAAAGAGGACCACCTCTTCCTCTGGAAAAAAGTCCTGTGTAAGTTTAATGTGTTGTGAGGAACAGAAATCGCAAAGATTTTTCCTATTTTAAGGCATATGATATTATTATGACAAATAACCGCTGTAATTATAACACAGGTAGTTTCTACATGCCACTGTTTGGGGCCTACGGCATATCCAAGGCAGCAACCGAGATGTTCTGCAATATCTTACGACTAGAAGCAAGGAAGTGGGGAATCCAAGTGATTACCATTCACCCAGGAAGCTTCCGGACAGGTGATGAACTGTGTGTGTCCTTGTAGCACCTTCTGTCACAATAGGTGCAAAGGCAGGCTTCAGATGATCGCATCGCCTTATGCTGGTGCAACGAGTCTGTTTTATAACATAGAATAAATTCAATGAGAGATTTTTTTTATTTTAGATGAAATTGGAATGTCACTATTCAATGACATAAACCATGTCATGGAGGAAACACTAGCTAAGTTTCAACTCAGGATTTAAAAACTGGCTGCATGTATATGCAGCTATAGACATGGAGGAGATCGCGTCTTTACAATGTGACAGATCTGTGAATGAAGAAACTACTTTTTGTTCATTATGGGGAGGAAAGTTAGATACCAAGTTTTAAAAAATGCTTACCAGTAGTCGTGCCTACATCTCTAGTGACTGGTGCCCTTCTTTTTACTTATAATAGCACATGAATTTGCTAAGCAGCTTTCCGATATTTGACCAAGGTGTAAAGGTTAGGGTAGGAACTTAGGTCACCTTGACCCAACCTGGGTCACCTGACGTAATAGGGTCACCTGACCTGATACTTAACGGCTATCAAACTTAGTGAATGTAGTCTCTATTCATGTTTCACAGCCCTAACGACCAACCGATATGGCATGCGTCAGTACCAACGTAAGTGCCTTGAACAACTTACCGCTGAACTCAAGCAATATTATACACCAGGATACTTTGAAGCGACACTTGACGTCATAAATCCATCGTTTATCCCAACGGACGTGTCACCTGTTTGTCGCACCGTAACAAGGGCTTTATTGGAGCGAGTGCCCAGTGCCTGCTATGAATGTGGTCTACTGGCGGGCACCCTGATCAATGTAGCCCGGTGGTTGCCAACTCCTCTTTTCGAATTCTTAATCCGTAACAGTAGAGTGTTCAACATAGAACCAAATTTGAATCCAGATTTGAATATCTGAAAGGGATAATGAGTGGCCAACACAAGTTGGATGTTGGGTGTTCAACTACCAGCAGTGGGCGCGGAAATAAACAAAAAATAAACATGGGAAAGGGGAAGGGGGAAAAGCTGTCGGTCATTAAGCTTTCTATTTTTTTTTCTAAAATTGAAGCCACATTTATAAATGATTTCCGTTCTAAATATTACTCTAATGTTTCAATTAACCAATGTGGTTCGTGCTTCAAGTATGAATGGAAGGGTATATTTGCGTCATCTTGGATGCTAGCTTGAATATCGACTTGTTGTTTAAGTAACACAAGTCAGATATTGCTACCTCACTTTCAATAAAAAACAGCAGGTAACTATTGTTTTCCAAAGGTGAATAAAAAGCTGAATGGTGAATTCGCCAAGCAAGACTTAAACGGTTAAATATGAACAGGCAAAAGAAACGACTTTTTTAACAAATATCTGTAACAATAAATAAATGTTTTGGATGGATGATGACCCATTACTTGATCAGCCCTCCGTAGTCACAAACACAGGGGTACTAAATTCCTGGCCAAAATTGTTGGGAAACGTGTCAATAGCCACACCCTACCCAGGTTGCACAGACTATGGCCCATGAGACACAATATTGACCGGAGATGGGGAGGGAAGTTTGCTCAGTATTTTGAGATTTGGTTGGGATAGTTGCAAACCACCCACCTCCATTTTCCATTATTGTTCACAAACACTCCTCCCGCCATATACTGGTTATGAGTAAAAATCCAAATTACTACTCTTGGGTTTGTTAAGTGACATGCTTTGCTTTCACAAACGTTCTTGCAGAGTTTTACGGCCACTCCAAAGAGGGTGTTGTAAGGTTGCGTCAATAAGCAACTAAGCAAATATGGAAAGTACTTGTAATTGATTTTTAGAAACGTTTGAGAAATGGCCGGTACATTTTGGCAGTGTCCTATTGGAGTTCGCATAGGGACAAACTTGACTAAATAATGGATGGTTTCTGGCCGTGGCATTTTTGTAAATACCGATATTAAACTTATGGCCAGTGAGGCACGGAATAACTTTATAAAAATGACGATATTATGTTTCAGTCAGATCAAAATTAAATATAACGCGAGTTACCGAATGGACTATGCGCCACGATATAGAGGTTGTATGCACACTAGGAAAAAAAATCTGTTAAATAACATTAGATTCCATTGATAATTGGCATTACAGAAGTTGTTCTAGGACAGCACGTTCTAGTGTCAGTTTTTCTCTGTATACTAACAGGAAATTCTACTGTTGTACCATCACTATTGGAAAAAGTGCGGTTGTCGGGTTAATAAAACAATTGTGTTTGTCAGTCCAGGGCACTGTTTTCAATAAAAAGGTATCTGGAGGTTTCTTGAATGTTGCGTGCATCAATATGTGGATATATTAATTATCTTTCTCACACACCGTTTAAAATCATGATAGTGAAACAATAGTTGGAAGTAAGGTTAACTGAGACAAAAAGGTATATTTTTTAAGTTTACATTACAGGCTTGGTGGTTAAAGTCTTGGCCTTGAGAATCAAAATCCTTTGCTTCAACAAGTCCTCCAATCTCCCGGTAAATGTCGTCATCTCGAGCTGGAGCGCAGATCGCGCACAGACCACTTCATTTTACACATGTAGATTGAACATCAGTAGACCGGTGTTTTTACAAATGCACAGGTTGGCTCCGAGACACTAACGATGTACATGTAGTTTATACTACGTATAGGCCTGCTGGAAGGGGATCACACTAAGAAAGGATGATCTCGTGCACACAGGAAAAATGACAATTTTCTATTGAAAATTACGAAAAAATTTAATTGGAAAAATTACGATTTTTAAAAATATTCTGGACTATAGTGTGGCCAAGGATCAAACGCGGGTCACACACAAAATCGTGTGCGGTATAACACTACATAATCTGCCTCACGTACAGAGACTCTGTGTGTAGGCCTATACATGTACGTAACATTATGTTGTAATATTTCCGACAACATTATGTTTGGTTATTTGTTATATCAAAAGATACTCTCAACCATTCGGAACTACGTTTTTTTCAACCGTGGATGACGTATTCGTCTAATGACTTGCTCCGATGCCTTGAGAGAGTATCTACATTGCACGCGTGCGCGTTGCTAACTTGTCCGCCATTATTTTGACGTAAAATTATTACAAATTTGATTCTGACCGATTTTCAGTTGAAAGATGTCCTTATCTGCAGGATTTGGAGCAACGTTTTTATCGAATTGTCAAATCTTGCAGAATTGTTTCCTGCGGCGGGTTCGTAAGTTTTGCCTGGAACCGATTTAGACAAAGTTGACTTCAGCTTAGGAAGAAACTCTCCTTTCCATGACCAGAAAAACTTGTTTTACTGTAGGAAAAAATACATATGGAATTATTACTTTCTCATGTATTACTAAATCATGTATAACTTAAACTAACATTTTTATTACAGTTTACAGAAAGACCATAACATATTGCCGGATTATAAAATACTTCAAGAATTGTCAATTTATCATAAAACAAGCCCTCCTTGATAATTGCGCCGTCCTGCGGCTGGTTCGTGCCATCCACTTAGCGGGTTCAGAATTTTAAAAAAGTCAGATCACTGATTGCAATCTGGCTCTGCTCAAAAACAGGCCCACACGAATAAGTCTGTTTGAGCTGATATGGCTGACAAAATGAGCCCCGAGCTGGGCCAAGAGAGGGTGCAATTTCATTAGCAACGCAGGCTCCTTTATTTGGTAGGACTTGCTAGTTCACAAACGACTATGAAATGCACGCGTTACAGATGAATAACTACCGAGAAAATGGACACTCCAGCCCAAATGACTCTTTCCAACCGATGAGGGAGTGCTTCTGCTCAAGGTGGATAGGAGGGCACATTTTGGTTTGGGTAAAATCTTTTGTGTTTACTCTAAACTTTGTGGACATATAAAAAAACAAACACAATCGGGGTCCTATCCACCAGTGCCAAATTTGCACACTTCAAATAGCGCCCTCCTATTGTGTCGGTCATACTTCAACATATCCCTAACTGCATTGCACAGATTAGGTTTTTCCCCCGGAACTGAACACCATCCACGGAACCCTATTTCTGCCAACGTTAAGAAATAAAGGTATTATGTCCTTTATGATTGAACCAGATACAAAGTCGTCCTAGATAAATTGTTTAAATGCAAAGGTGTTACTCAGCTGATTTGAATGGGGATAGGGAGGAATAAAATTGTCGCTAGACGACAGGAGAACGCAAGTTATATTATCTCACATTCCTATAATGGTGAGGGTTCGGATAGGTTGGAATATCCATACGACGAGCATTTTTCAAAATAAATCAGACTGGATGTGTTTTGACACAAAGTGTCATTGTTAAGAGTAGCCACGTGACTAATAAAGATGAGGGCATGAGGTTACAGCCCCCCCCCAGTATATTATCCTCACTCAGATATTAGAGAAGAAAAAATCTGGTGATAGTCCGCCTCGGTAACGGTGACTAAGCGCATCGAGTGCTCCCTTTAGTGAGCCCCCATATTACCGCATCCGTGTGCTTAACCTGTACCCCACACCACTCTTTAAAATTGACCTTATTTTGCCGTCCAGTGGGGTGGGGACGCTAAACGATACGGTGTTACAAATAATTATGTTTATCACGAAAGGGGGTACCACATCCCCTTAAGCAACTTCCCACGATACCGTTCAAATAGCTTGCCCATGAACAGACTTGTCAGTCTCGTTTGGATTTTATATTCTTTATACGAATTGCAATTTTTTTCATGTTGGTGGCAACAATATACTTCCGTAACATTGTTCCACCATGACTACTCGATGCTGAAGTTGACCGTGGTTAATTTCAAGCTGCGGAAACGAGGGCTGTAAAGAGGATGTACATTGTATTTTCTTTGGAGTTTGGAGCGATGAGAAGATTTTCTTGACGGACCTATTTGTACAAGAGGTCAGTGAAGACAATAACCTTTATGGTAAGCTCAGATTCTCGGCGTTGATAAATAAAAAGGCAGAATTACGGAGTAAACTACGGAGGGGAGTATGTTTCATTTCTCTTCGACCAAACCGAACACACTGTTTCGGTAATTGTAACGTTGTTCCCGCAATCTTTTCGTGGGCTTCGTAAGGATCAGATTTTTAAATCATTCAAAGCTAGTCTTGATTCAAATTGAATTCATCTGTGGTTGTGATCACGCAGCTCAAGGTCATGATCCATGTACATGTACACATGTAAATAGCTTGAAATAGGTCTACTAGGGAGAATGACGTGCAATTGAGGTCTGGGTTAGAGTCCGTCCACATCTGTTCAAAAGTGTTACCTTTCATCCACAAACCATGTTCTCAGAATGGCACTGCTGAATGATTCCATACTTACACGTGTGGTGAAATCGTGAAACGGGATTAAAAGGTTTAGAGGAACGTGATGTTTATATTTAAAAAAATAGAAGTAAAATATAAAAAGAAGACTAATTTGTTGTTTCCATCTTCAGATTTTGTGAAGTGTATTAGTATTTGGAAGGAGAGACGGAAGTTGAATTTGTACACAATGCATCCTGAGTATAAGTCAAAGAGAAAATCAGGTGAGATTTTTTAGCATCTTTGACTTGACACCACAATTTACCAAGCTGTGTTTTTAAATGACTGGAATATACTGTTGTCATTTTCTTTGAAAATCAAGTTTCTATGAACGTACTATTCAGGGCAAAAGACGGATCTTCTCCATAATACAGTCAGAAGACGGAAGAGGCAGGGTCAACGAAAATCACGATGGCAAAGGAGTGACACGTCTTCAGAGAAGGAACAGGAATCCAAGGAAACTAACTCTTCCACTCCTCCACCTATTATCATCAACAACCATTTTTTTCTGAACAACAGTCCTGTTACATTTGGATGCAGTAGAGACAACAAGTACTATTTTGGTGAGAACCAACTTCCCACAGTTCCACAGACGTGAATTGTGTCCAGATATATTGTATCCATGCTCTGAATATTGCCAACATTTTACATTTTCGCATCGAGATAATCGGATCCATAGTTGGGATTTAAAGATCAAGTGCATGTACATGCAATAACTAGAGTGCAAAAATTTGCCGATCAGTCTCTGGGTGTAGGTAGTGCAAAGTTCATTTTACTAACTCAACACATTTTAACTAAAACTTACACATTATAGAAATTTCATATGGAGCACACTTGGTATTTGGTTTTTTCATTCAAATTATTTGTACACAAATGACTTGCTCTTTAGAAATGGCCCAAAACAATTTCGCGTTGCAATGTTTAAACCTATTCTTTGCTGTAGATATGCCAGCCAAGCTTTACGCAATAAAAGACGGAATGATGAATGAAGAAGAAACTCGGAAACTTCAGGAAAAAATCAAAAATATGGTGAGAGAAAATAAGCCAAGAATCACGTCGTTGGAAGACATATTAAAGGAATGTGACGCGAAGACGACAGGCGTAGGGGACGGATGTGTAAGAGTGACTTGGCGTTTTAGAAGTCTGGAGGGTTTGAGAAGATTCTGGAAGATGTACTTAACTGGAGATCTGAAACGATGTCTGCAAAAAGACTTACCAATCGAAACGGTGAAAGTATCTGAGAACGACTACCAGATGGGTTGCAAATTTTTTGGGAGGTCTGGAAAGATAACTGGACAAGGTGAGAAAAACGTGAACTGAGCTACATCAACATAGTTTCGGGAAAAATCAAAGTTGGTTGGAGGTTAAACAACCAATTACAAGTTAGAATTCAAAGAATCTTTGATGTACTTGTAACTGTAGGTTAGGCATCTTGTGGACTGCCTATAATTAAGTATATAGTGAATCTGACGAAGTGAGATACGGAAATACGGAACACGAATTGCTTGGGCACAGTTTAGTCCTTGGTGACAATCAAAACTGGTTGTAAAATAAGAATTGAGATTAATATACTTTGTTGCTGTGACACTTTTGCCCGACCGAAGTAGTGAATGGACCATTTTTTCCTAAATCTCGGGATCAAATACGGTACGTACGGACTCTTCCAAAGAGTCATTTAGGGGTCCTTTGAAAAAGAGTTGTCCTTCATATAACTCCTCTTTCGAGTGATTTTTCACTCTTACGGAGTAACCAGTAGTTTTCTCTCTTTTTACGGTGGTTTTAAATTTTTCTGCGTGGAGTGGATTTATAAGGAACTCACTATTTTTTGAGAGTAAGTTTTGTAATCTTTTGCCTTCAGAGAGAAGTTATCAGGTGATGTTAATTGGTCATGATTTTTCCCTGACAGCTGTCATTAAAAGGATCATAAGCGTGCAGTGTCTTGACCAGCATCTGAACACTTTAGAGCAAGCAGCAGTCGAATATGTTCGACGTCGTAAGGCACTTGTAGAGATGCTTCGTGGAGTTGCTTGTGATTACACACGTTCTACAGTACAGAAAATACTTGCAGAGGTAGGTTTATAATGAATCGTAAACATCATCGACTATTGAATTGCTCATGAGTCCAAACAACCCATCCAATGTTTTAATAAGCTTGTTCAATGCCTCAAAATTCTTTGAAAGAAAATGTGTACAGTAGTGAAGGAAAATATCAGAGGGAAAGACGCCTCCCACCGCGAGGGGAAATGCAATCTCCCCCCTCCCACCCAGATCCCCCATGCACACGGGACGTTAAAAACAGAGACTGAGTCAAAGGCCTGTTTTCTGACAAAATACCAACTGTAAAGGAATTGCATATTGAGCCAGTTCAATATTTGAAAAAGGTTACGTCATTCTGAGACTCCGAATCTCTTGTCTAGAGCTAGGTCTAGGTCTTCACTCCATTGGAAATGCGTGGAGACGCGTAGACAATAGACCTAGCCGTAGCTCTGGAAGCCGATTTCGGACACGGCCTTAGTACGCGTTTGAGTAGGCGTACGGCTGCGCGAATTTTGTCCTGACATAGACTTTTATGCCCGAGTTTTTCTGTCAGCGAAATTTCTTGAAGCAAATACTGGATTTTTTATTGTTTGCATATTTGTTTCTTCTCCCTCCTGACGTATTTATGGAATTCTAAATGTCCTTGAAACGCTCAAATACATGTGATAATTTTTTTTTAAATGAGGAAACATGCGTGAAATCGGTACGAATTCAAGCAGTAAGGATCATTATGCAGGTACATGCAAAATAAACGGGATACGAGCTGATTGTCCACGATACTGGCAGTAAGTGCACTTATACATGTCTGTCTCCTCGGGATAAAAGCCAGAAATGTAATTGCGTGTTTATCGAAAGATATGTTCAAGAAAATAAACACCACATATCATACCAGTTTCTTTTCACCAACAGTTTGCAGTTATGCTCGTTGTTGCTATGGTTACTCTTCTCACTACTCTCGCCTTCCTGAGCTCCACATACGCTGAGTCGGACTTCAAAGACGTTCTTACTGTCCACGTCTACAACGTCACTGTGATACATATACGTTCCCATTGTTATGATGTATGTTAAGTCTTTATTTCAATCTAATCAATGTATTGAAGTTGTATGTATCCCAAATCAATCGGAAGTTTTCCATCGTTCTGATCTTCCTTCTCTAAGGTTCTCAGATTTTTTTTACAAAACAAATTGCTTTTCGATATTAATGTCAAGTAGAAAATCCGACTGCACCATCTTTCACTTTTTTTGTCACGCTTCTTTTGAATCATGTGAAAAATATTAAATTAGTTCAAACAAGGAGTGCTCAAGGCTCTAAACGAGGTATTTATCTTTTCTAATAGAAATATGAAAATATCCGTTCGTACCTGATGTACGCATTGGTCACAGTCCTCCTGCTTTTCACTGGTATTGGTACACTGCTCAAGACATACTCACGGGGAAGTGATGAAGTTGATGATAAGGTTGGGGATGATGAAGATCGCGTAACATCTGCCAAAATGAACTCAGCACCAGTCATCTGGGTCTTTAAGGTGAGCATCCTTAGAATAACTCTTACAGTTGCTCAAAGTGGTCAACATTTATAAGCAAAATACCCTAAAAATCGTTTTCTCAATCCACTAACGAATGTATCACTGATTTTTTGCTTTCAAGTCAGAAAAGGCCAGTATGTAGACCCAGATTGGAAGGGGTCAACCCCCTCTGCTCTGGTAGAAATTTACACATAACAAAACTACATGATTAACAACCATCGTGGTAAAAAAATTACAACATGACAATCTGCAAGGGTCATCATTTTAAATGGTCAGTGACAGTGACATGAAAAGATCTGAAACCCCCCTCCCCCGATTTTTTTTTCGCTCCTGTGAATTGTGGTCACAGCACATAAGATATTTTCTTTGAATACCCTTCATTGACAATTTGAGTATCGTGCTGGTGTTTCTGAGACCTTCATTTCCTCTTTTTCTTCGCCCAAGGAGTAAAATTAACGACGTAAATGCTGCACCCCTCAACAAATCGTAAACATTTGATAATCTTTTTTCCCTCATAGGACATCGGTGAACACTTCTTTCGTCTTTTTTGCTTTTGTATCGTTTTACTGATGTTGTGCCTTCGCCTGGGCTGTACTGATGAATTTACCCTTCCGATTATTTGGGTGAGTACTACCTGTATTCGAGTGTCAAGAATTAAATCCTAATTCATCAAACCTACTTAGACTGGGTGGTGAACTTTAGTTAGTAGGCCCTAGTGACTCGTGTTCTCTCGATTTCATTATAGAAAATGACTCACCTCTATTAACCTCAATTTACATAAACCTGACTGGAAAAGTCGCCCATGCCACACCTTCGTGCCTACCATACAAAATGTGTCGTGTACCACAAAGGCTCGTCCTGTTTGCCTAGGGCAAAAGCACCCCCTCATCACATGCCTTGGGGAGAGTATTCATTGTCTTAGTAGCCATACGACCGAAAGTCATGCAGTTCACTGCCGATTGTAAACCAGCAAAGTACATTTTTCATCCATCAAAAGAGTTTTCTAAGAAAATCGCGCCTTCTGTTGGCCCCGTTCAAGGCTGATTGTTTTTCAGGGATACGTTTAGTGTGCATTGCGCGTGTGGCACTCAACTTTTGTAAACACTGACGTTTGTAAAAACATAACATGTTTTAAACTGATTTATCAGCATTTATTTGTATTAAATTTACCAACTGGGTACTGTATTCTTTTTAAAATAAAATCCAATTCTGTTTTGCATTTTGTTTAAAAAATTACCTTGCGTTCCTAGTTCAAGTTTGGATTGACAGGCTTTCGAGCCACAGTGTTTAGATACACTTTTGTCAACCCTGGCCAGCTTGAATTGGGTTGTTTTCTTTATGCTTAGTCTTGTGGAATTTTCATGAGACTGTTCCTTGTTTCTTTAATGTTGTACATGTTGTTGTCGATGGCCAAATAAACTTATAATAAATAAAAATAATGATGTCGATGGTGGTGATGCCCCTACCATCGACGTCGTCACTACTATCTGGCCCCAACGTACCAGCTTTGTCGTCACATTCTCAGCCCTATACGTAGTCCTATTTTCCTAACGACCATCGATAGTTCAGCTGCGATTGTCCTTGCAATTTGTCTCCCATGAGGTCTTAAAAGATGTTCCCCATGAGATATAACGTTATTGCATACCGCATCGTAAGAATTCTCCACATTTTGGGAAGGCTCACAATGTATTTGGTCCCCAAGACGCGGTGCCATTTTCCATGTCGTTCTGGTAACCATGACCGCGCCACCGCTCTGCTATACGGGGGCTCTCCAACGTGATACACGCATCCGTTCACGGTTTGCTATCACACTACAGGTGACAGTCGAAACCATCTTCTTATGACCGATGAACTGTAACAGAATTTCAAAAATCCCCCAAAGATATTCAATTCTATTATAAGAAGACACCTACGTATGCCATCCCTCCCCGTGATTTCCAACAAACTCTGACGAGTCTTTGTGTTACGTAGCCATTTTCACATGCAGCGGACGCAGTAGGTGTGGTTTAGACGATTCAGCGACTTTCATAAGTTTCCGTAGGTAATCCAAACTGAGTGTTTTCTTACTAGAATAAAAAAATTCCTTTGAATTTGGGGAAACCAAAATAACATTGCTTCAAACATAAACCACAACTTGGAAAAGAAATTGCCGGGGAAATGCAGTGTTATTGAATGCAATTAAGTTTAACTCTTCAACAGGTTTGAAAGGGCCCTCAATTCCAGACCTTTATCAGGGGAAAGAGAAACACCCAACATTTAGTACAATTTTTGTAGTTCTTTGAGGATGTCAAGTATAGAAGATAGTCTGGGGTGAAGACGATTTTTATTGATGCACGAGGATAAAATATTGTGGATCAACTGATCAATATAACTATAGTCTTCCCTGTATATGTGTTGAAAATAAAACACGTCATGTTTTCTATAAAATTGGAAAAATAATCGATCTCTGTATTTTACCTCACAGGAAACTGGATTTATCATGTCGGGTATTGCGGCGGTTATCTTCTTTATTCTTGCTGTTTTCTGTGGAATCCTTTCGATATATACAAAAATAAAGGTTCCAATGCAGTACCACAGTGACATTGAAGCTTGCGAATATCTCCGGTGTGCATTTAAAACAGTCAAGTTAGTCTCGGAGTTGATGCAGAAGGAATGGAGGCGTATTGCCGGTGCAGAAGCTGAAGCGAAACGAATGGGAAACGCGCTGGATATTACGACGGAAGTGGAGACTTTGAAGTTTCAAGTAAGAGATACATCAGTTGAATCGGCCTCCGAATCAATCATTGATGAGGCTACTCGCGCAAGTATCAGGTCGGGTCTACCGAGTTCTGATGCCTTGTTCAGTGTCATCCAAGTCCCTTGCAACCTTCAAGGATGGATATCCTCGTCCGCCAAAGATCGTAAAATACCACCTCCAGAGGTGAACAAATTTGTAAATGATCTCGCTGATAAGATCAATTGCCCTGCACAAGAGGACATGAAAACAAAAATTCGCCAAATAAGATGCAGTCTCGGTCGTGAGTAATCTACCTGATGTGGGTAGCTTAGCACAGACTTAACCTTCCAGTCTGCTCTTCCTAAATCAGAAAAGGTTGTCCGAGTTTACTAAAAAAATAAAAATGTAGAAAAATGTATGGGATTATCGATTGTAGGCCTATGTTAAACAAAAATGATGCTTCCAACAATTTTTGTCTTCGTGCATAATATTAAGCATTTCAGATGCCCAACATTCCCTTTTATATAATTTTATATAATTTATATAATTAGACTGTCCATTAGCAACCTCACCACTTAGTTGCAGGTGGTCATTCGTTGGGTCACTGGCACTAACAGTCAGTGGTTTTTGAAAGACTAAATCATGTTCCATACGCAGGTGAAAAAAAATCACGAAAAACTAAAAACCTTTCACTTAAAAGGTAAAACTCATTCCACATTCCAGGGTTGATTTCTTCCATTTACCTCAAAGGTATCCGACTTCCACTATCACCACTGTTTAATTTTTACCAAAGTTGGAAACAATTTATTTACATACAAGTGGGTTATACAAATTTTTAAGTTTTCAACACATTTATCTATTACAAATTTAGACTTTATATTTACTGCTTTAGAATTGCTCTACTTAATGTATCTGAATTGCACTATTGTTTTGATGTATATGATTTCTTCTGCTCTCATACCAAACTTCAATCCATAATCATAATTTTGGCAATGGTATTGAATCCTCTCCCAAAAAATGTAAAATATTCATGAAATTTCTGTAAAGTATGTGGTTCAATCAATTGGGACCTATGCGACCTGCAACATTGATACATTGACACATCGTCTTAAGAGAAAGATGCCAGTACTAAGAAGGTTCATTGACCCCTCACACTCTTGCCTAAATCCAGCATTCTGTTCAAAAAATTTAAATCATTTATGCCACCAGATTTCTGAAAAGATTTAAATTATCATAAAATAGCTTTCAAATATTACACAAAAATATGGAAGTGATTGTAATAGAAACCAGATGCATAAAATTTGTATCTTACAACTAAACAAAAATCTATGCCTTATGAATAGAATAATGATTAAACATGAAAACAAACTTAACATAACATAATATGTCATGCTGGCAGTACATTTATCCCGCCAACAAGACATATAATTGACCATCCACAGTATATTTTTTTAATAATTGTTTCCCAACAGCACTGTTAGTGTTGACTGTCAACTTTTCAAATAATGCTGTACTGTCAAGATCATGGACTTGAAATCAAGTCATCAAAAAGTCGTGTTTATCCTTTTATGTCATCAGTACTGCATCATTAATGTTAATACTAAGCCTTCTGTTTAACATTTTGCAATCCAACATGTCAAACTTGACCAATATGACTGAGGGAAGATATTCAAGTAAGCAGCAAGCTAATAGCCTCTGCATAAACCTTCCTACAGACAGGACCAATCAGGTATTTCACCTACATGTACGCGTCTGGTAGAAATCTCATGATTACCTCAGCTTGTTTGGGTTTCAGAGTACTCAAAATCCTGGTTTTCTCAAGCCATGGCCAACAGAACTCTTTGCTTTTTGGTAATTCCTTACTCTAACACCTCCACTGTGTTATTTGAACGACAAAAAATCAAAAGAAATGATGAACAAACAATGTTGTGGATGGAAGTGTAGACAATTTCTGTTGTGAAAGCAGCATGTGTGCAAGTACATGGGCACACAGCAAGGCTTGAATATTTACATTACTTTCATTCTAAACCAATTAAATTGTGCCAAAAATGAATATTCATAATGTCATCATTCTGAGCCAATCAGACTACTCCATACAATATTGGTAGCAGGTTCCCAGGAGCTGGCAGATTATTTAAGTTGGTCATTGGTAGATGACTCACATGCATACTGGGGGTGAGTTGCACTGACCATTTCTGCATGATGTTATTTTACCACATGCTGTATGTAACACAGTATACACAGCAGTGAAGCCAGACTAAACCCAGACAATTACCGACTTGAGTTCGTATCTACCAGAATTGGTGAATTCAAACCATTAAGCACTTATGACATACACCCTTTGTTCTCTTTGTTTTTCCCTTTTATTTTCAAGCTTGGCAGCATGCATCTCAAACCTGTTACATTGGAGAGTGTCTAAACAGAGTTTACGACAAATATAAACCCTTCCTCTTCAAAATAATCACTGGACTTCACCTTAAACGTCTTGAACAACACTGTGTTCAGTTGAGGGTTAGATATAACAGGCAATGACCAAACCAAGGCTAGTCTTAATGGAATAATATCCAGCTATTAACATAATGATATCACTCTTTGTTTCTGCGTGCATTTTCTCAAGGGGGCTATGGATCAAGGCCCACCTCATTGCCATCTGGTTTGTAAGCGTGGGGTCACTTCAGTTTAAACTACGCCCACTGCACATAGACCTACGTTGAACCATGGAACTGGAAGATAACGCTCAACTTGAAGGCTCATGTAATGAAGGCTTGTCATCAGTGGTGCGTGCGCATGTATCATTAAGTCACTTACAAACCGGATAGGAAAGTGCACGAGTAAACAAAGTTTGACGTCATTGTGAGAAGCCTATCAGTAAATATCTTTAAGTAACAAAGATGGTTCAGTATCTTATTTGCTTGTAGTCTCTGACTTTGGCAGTGATGTCTTCTGTGTTTCAGATTTAGTCTCGCCTTTGCTTGGCTTTTCAGACGATGAAGATTCATGTTGTCCGTCTATTTCTTTGTGACTAGATGTTACCAATTCGTCCAGTTCATCCTAATTCAGATAGAAAGAAAGAAGGAAATAATCAAATTAATGACGACTTCAAACTAAGACAGTAACGTCCCTCAACTATGCCCGAAACTCACTGAATTCAAATGAGCTAAGATCCTCTCCACTAAAAGCGAGGCAGCCAAAGTAGAATGACATTCTGTTCATGTACAGTGCCCCTTGAGAAGAGGCTGTGAGCAACACACCATCTATGAGAAGAGACCATAGCCACTAGCTAGCGGTTCAAAAGGGCATGAACGACTTCCAAATCCACATCTATATTTTCTAGCAACAGCCAAACTCATTACATATGGACATGGCCTTATTCTGTAACAATCAGTCTGACAACAGAAGATCTACTCATGCCAATACAAAAGAACAAGGTTTACAGAAAAAAATAGTTTGAATACTTAATTCTACTAATGTGACAAGTCCAAGTGCCCCACCCCCATAAGGGAGGGCCTGAAGTGCTCAGAAATATTGGGTGATTATATTGCCGGTTTGTTGCTGGTTTGAGTAGTTAGTTTAAAAACCTACGTGTGGATACATCAGCACATTGATGTGAAATGCACATTGCTTACTGTGTGAAGGATAAAACAACCAGCCATGATTTAACCGCCCGGTTTTTCTGAGCTGCAAATGTATAGCTGTAGCCCTCTGCATACCTTTACTGTGTCCGGCTGGATACTGACACCTGTAACCAATCCACTAATTGATGCTATGTAGCAATGTTTACGCCATGAGACTGCCATAACACAAGTTTTGCCTGAACTTGTTGGGTAATCATTCTGATCACAAAGTAAATGAATTGACTCATGCTTACCTTCCATCCAAGCATCTCAGCCAGTTTGTTACATCCATCATCACAAGTACCAAGGTAAGCCACATCTCTGTAGGAAGCAAAGGACATAAATGATATCAGAAATATCCATTCACCCTTATCTAACATCCTTCAGGATGGGACCCAACAGACGGATGATTAAATCTGTCTAGATTTGTAAGATGCAAACCATTAAGAGCTACTCGGAGAAATGAGCTGCGAGAAAAAGGAGCAATGAAAACTGACGTTTGACACGGTAAATCTCAGGAGTCCATCAGACGATCTATACTTCATATTGTAACAAAGTTACCTGTGTGCCACCTGGGGGCATACTGCTCTCACTCCATAAATTCTTTTAATACCTTTTTGGTTGGGTGCACTCTGCAGGAATACAAGACTGCTATAGGCATTGGGGCATTAGTCATTCTTTCCGTTTCTTTATTTTACGTTTGGATTTCTTTGCTTTTAGCCACGGCCTCGCCTCCAGCCGTGCACCCATGCTGGTCTCATAACTTTGTTACCAAACATTGTAATTTATCTACATTTGTTAATTTGTCTTTTGGATGTCTTTGTAAATACTCAGTTGCTTTGTGTGATTGCAATACTTAATTTGGGAGGTGCTCGCAAAGTCTGTCTTCTTGTTGTGTGCTTTTTTGTGGTTGTTAATTTGTATTCATTTTTCCCCATGCCCCGGCATGCTCGGCCTGTTACAACAGTCTTCCAGTTGGTATAAATTTGAAGTATAAACTACAAACACAAAACTTGCAAGCTCGTTGAAAACCACTGCATGTATATTGTTTAGATGTTTCTGTGTTTCCTATCAGTGAACTCAAAACACTGCAATGAAAGGAATCCAGCATTCCTTACCTGTATTTGTTTTGAGAATCGAAGTCGAAGCCACCAGTAAATAATCCTAGTCCTCGTAACCTTGGAATTCCCTTCAAACAAAAAGTAAGGTGTGTTATACAGAACACTGGCAGAGTACTCTAACATTCCCTCCACTATGTCTAAAGCAGATGGAAAATCCTCCGAGAGACAGGTGAAGAGCACCATCCTTTATGACCTTTAATCAAGGTACACTCTAAGTCAGATGGAATGTCAGCCAGTAATTACATAAATTGGGCTGACATTATCGTTTAGTCAATAAAATTCTAATAGGTAAAAATGACGTCAAAGGTAATTGATTATCTGAACTTAAGTTAAATGTTCCAACCTTTTGATTTAAACAAGAAAAAGGCAGGACTGTTGGCAGGACTTGTCAAGGGGAGTAGAAATCATTACTTGGTACCATCTATTATTTCTTTTAATCCTATTTAATGTGTGTAGAAATTCTCAATTACACCTCCCATGGTTCTGAAGCCATCCATGGACATGTTTCATGAGCCAGTTTCAATGTTCACAAACACTGAGACTCCCTTTCTTAGGCATGAGCACATTGACATTTGAAAAAGAAATGTTTCAACCAAGTATTCAGACATGATAGACCCCTTGCAGCTGGTACTTGGTAATGGTTCCTTTAATATGGCAAGGCACCACTGAAACAATATGAAATGCAACCCCTCTATTTGACTTGCATACATACCTCTCCTGCTTTTTCCTTGTTAATCAGAAGTCTTGGTGTTGTAGCTGGAACTCTACAAAAAATTAATCAAAACATAACATCTTAACCTGCTTGGCCACAATTAGATGCTTACCACTGTTCTGATTTTTAAACACAGGCAAAAGTTGTGAAAGTCATTTGATTAGGGAATTTTTACAAGTAAAAGTGTCAAACTGCAGTGTTACAAATCTATGCCAGGGTGGGCGGGGATGGCCAAACACAAAAACTTTGGCAAGCTGTGGACATTTGAAAGGGGAGGACACCACATAACAGTTGAGGGCGCTGTTCATAACCCGCATGTACAGTGTACAAGCACAGGAGTAGTGCCTTCACCTTACATGAAAACAGTTTCATTTTCTTCAGTTTTCAATGTTATTTAAATTCTGAAATCGATTTCCTTCGTCAGATTTCACCTCTTCTACATCAAAAATTTTCAACCACTACCATTCTCCCACCATTTCGATCTCAACAAGGCCATAACAATAGGTATGATAAATCAACGCCAACCATGGAATACTGTCGATGTATGGGGGGTGGAGGAGGTACAGTGTATGCCATGCTTATGGGGGGAGGGGTTATATCAAGTTTGTATTTGATGCATAGATACTTCATGGACAGCCCCAAAGCTGATGTTCCAACATTTTCTTGATGTCTTAACCCCTTCGCGACGGATGACGGCAAAAGCCGCCGTAAAAATTGAGATCCTCAGCCCCCTTTTCAGCTATTATTCTCAGCCCACGCTCGAGCGAACACAGTGAAAGAAGGCATACCCTGGCTCTTGTATATACGGTGATTGGCCTTTGTGTGTAGCCCAGAAATGAAAAGACCGAATTTGCATCATAATCACCAGTTTCACAATAGCCCCCACTTTGAAAAGAGGCAACAGGAATGTGGAAGCTCGAGTAGAGCCGCATGCCACCGAACAATCAGCCTATTCACCATGTAATTCAAAGCGTGAAGAGCACGCTGGGCCACAAACTGAGAATTTGCCGTTTGGCAGGTGGCCTTCGTGGCCAAGCATGGCTGGAATTCTCGGAGTCGGCTTTCAGAAAAAAGTTCCCGTCGTCAAGGGGTTAATCATCCTTAGTGTGTCTTTCAACCAAAACAGAAATACAAAAGCTTTTCAGATGTTGCAAAAGGCGATATCCTCCAACTGAAATCGGCTGAAGAAAATCTACGTACAGCTAATTCTATCGTCTCTAAACGACTTCATGGGAATTAACTTGAAAAGCTGACATGAAGATGGCTACATGGGGCATGGAAGTTACCTTTCAATTAGAGAAGCAAATGGCTGCACAACCAATGAAGTTCCCATGACAATTAACAAATCACACTTTGGAAAATCCTGCAGACAAGAAACAAAGACGTTGCAAATTCTTCATTGAGACAAAGAAAAACATGCCACAATGTATGGTTCTTGACATTTGGCTGTCTAACGTGTAGCACAATACGGCGAACACTCAATGACGATGCCTTAACAAAGTGATAAAAAATACTTCAAAGGAAATTATTTTCAACTGTCTTTGAAGGTTGATTACATGGAAAAACGTAGGCCTGTGCCTGGTCCTGGGTACACGGCCGTCCATAGAAAATCTGATTCTATTTTGTCGGGTCAGGTACCCGTAAAAAAGTTCCACATGGGAAGGGCAGAATTGGTGAAAAATCATGCCGCTGGAAAACCTGGTCCTGCGGTCATAACTCACAGTTCAGAGATTGACAAGCTCTTTTTGTTACAAATTAAAGGCAATACTTTGCTTAATAAAAAGGTGGAGAGATTCCCATCTGACTTAAGAACAATGTGCGCTTCCTATGTATGAAAAAAGAGCCCTGTTTTGGGCACATAGTCTGCCAGATTGCGCACAGTGCCATGCTCTTCTTTATATTTTAAAGGTACCCGGTATTGACATAAAACGGGTACCCGGTTCCAAGAATACCTTAAATGCACACCCCTAGAAAAACATCTAGTAAGTAATTTGAAACTGCAGTGATTTCTCAGCATTATGGGACAAATATTTTGATTTTAAAATAATGGTTGTAAATGTGACATTTGCCATGAGAACCATAACTTTCCAGTCCTAATTGTCGTTAGTCTTAACTTGAGCCACTGGCATACCTGGTAATCAACGATTTCTTACCTCCATGACAAGATGGGAAAACCTTACTGGCAATCGCTCTCCAAAGAAAACGATGTCTGGTTTGACTAAGCCCTCGCAGTCAGTACACTTAGGGAGTCTGTCAGCAAAAATTTCATCTGGGAAGAAAAGTAACACCTACCATTACTAGTGAGAAATTAGGTCTCAGTCAGATAACAAATGTCCATGTCTGATGTTAGGAATACTGCATTCTTGTCCTTCAATTGGTTCTTGTGAGAAAACAGCTTTGGCATGCTATTTGACAGCAAACACGCATCAAGTTAACATGCCAATGTGCAGTGACGAAGGGAGATACAAATATAATTGGCAGAAAGACAGACATATATGCCACTTCAGAGACAACATACAATCGGATTATAGACTATGAGGGCTCACCTTTCATCCATTGTTGGGTGTATTCTTTGCCACAGTCTCCAATACAATGTCCTGTATGAAAGGTCCCATGAGCTTCAACCATTAAGTCTCCAGGAACCCCAGCAATTCTCTCCAAGGTGTCTATATTCTGCAGGAGATAACATTTGAGCATCTGTGCTCTTATTGGGCAATGACAGTTGTTTACTAACAGTTAACTAGCCAATCAGAGGATGTCTCAGTTGCAACACTGCCTTGTCCTATCAGGATTTTTGCTTTTTAGAAGATGAATTATGGAAGTAACATGGCAGGACATTTTAAATGTTGAGGCCTTTCTTTTACAACTGTGCCATCATCCTTTCATTTGTGTGTACGTGTAACAAGGGTGACTTAATCGCACCGACCTGTGTATAATTCCTCAATAGCAACCTCTTGTCGGCCAAAAGTCGAATAAAGTAATGGCATGGAGTGGGTCTGAATTTCCCAGGATACAGCTCCTTGGCCAAATAAAAAAATGGCTCAGGTCTCTCCTGTAATGAATAAAATGATAACGACAGTGGTATGTTTTTTACGAGACTGCTGTAGACAGCACTGTGTGATTTGATTACATATGAGAGATTGTCTATCATTGACTTTAATGGGCGTGATGCTCTTACACAACCATCATCTGACCACACTAGCTGACCTTTGATGCTGACCTTTGATGTTCTAAACTTGCTTACTGCTTTATCATACACTTATGCTTACAACACGCCCTGTCCTCACATGCAGTTATGTATCCTGCAATGAAGAACTATTTGCCAGGGAAGAAGATAATGAACTCACATGACCTTAAAACCTGAGTAAAATGAATCTACCTAACAAAGAGGCTTTTACAACTCAATCCTTGGAATATTCCCATCACCAAACTGCCTCTCCTGATTCAGAACACTGTTCATGGCTAAACAGTTCGTCCAGAACAACCTGTAAATAATCAACTGTGATTAATGAGGCAACAGCTTTTTTAGCATAGAATCATCTAGAATGTCACTGATATGCAGGTAAGCTATGCATAGTCTCACTTACCCTGAAGTAGTTAATGTCAAATATTGCCATTGGCTCTGGGAGATTATACTTCTCCAAGTTGTCATAGAGACCAGTTCCTGGCGATCGAAAATCGGGTATGCCAGCCGCTAGAAAGAGCAAAGAATATGCCAAATAATTGCAAACAGGGCAGGAATTGATGGTAAGATTAATTTAAATCGAAATACCTGGATGAAAGACTAGATGAAATAATACGGCTTTCGTCTTCCATGGGGCAAATAATGCCATGGTGCTTTTGAAGAAAGCTGCTGATTTTGTTGACAATATTTCACTCTTACCTTTCGTTAACTCCAAATCTACAAGACGTTTGCTAGGAAACTTACCAAATTGATCAAGATACAACATTTTTCTATTTCCAAGTCAACATTGTTGGTGACATCTTTGTTACAGACAAGTTAGCCGGCCAGTCAAATGAGTCAGCCAGGACAAGTCATTTAAATTACAGGCTCTTCAAAGATATCAATGCATTGCAATGTTTGCAAAACTAGGCTGCCTCGGGCATTGAAAAGCAAATTCTCTTACTTTAACTCTCAATAGCAAAGACACTCGACTCACATGTTGAAATTCCTGCTCCGGTCATTACAATGATGTTCTTGCCTGAAAATCAAACCAGCAAGTCACAAATTCAGTTGGGATTTGAATTTTCAGCTTTAAATAAAAATCCTTTCTGTCATTTTACCAGCTATCATCTTGCGATTTCGTTAGGTGTGGTCATGTTCTTGACCACTCTCTCCATGTTTTGACCACTCCCTCTCCAGCCAACTTACATTTATCACTCTGCATATACTTGACCACCCCTTCTAGACTGATATCTTCCAATAACTGTTCAGGTTTGGCTTCTTCTTCCTCATCTTGTTGAAAGGGGCGAAGAAAACGCATCAACTGCTCCAAGGTTTCCACTGTAAGGTCAAAGGTCAGAAACTGTTTAATTCCTAACACACACAAATTTCATCAACCAGTTTTTATATCATCTTTAAAAAGAAGTAATCTGTTTTGAAAATGAACAGCTTCTCCCCCCCCCAAACTGAAAGAAAATTTTAGAAAGTGAAACATTATTCAATTGTCGAGTTCGGGCGGCCTGTTCTTAACACGGGTTTCTTGTTCTCGCACTCGAACGGCGGAAACATGACTCAAGAACACTGTTCTTGGAACAGGATCACACATCACCTCCTCGTCAGGGTTTTACAGGAAGACACGGAAAAATTCGTGAGACTATGATTTTTTGAACAGCTGAAAAAAGTAGAGAGATGGCTTTGTAAGCCACAGACAATTGGAAGTTTTGCAAAATTAACATTAATTATTTTTCATAACAAAGAAATGAATGTTCCAGTTTAAATAGAAAAGAATTCGTTTAACGTTAATCTCAAATAACATAAATGGCCGCCACCATGTTGCATGTTGCTTGTCACTAGCTGCCAGCAATAACCGGTTGTTTGTTCCCGGCGTTCGAGCGGCCAACCCACGAACAACAAATCGAGCTGTTCGTGAACATACGAGAACAAGCCTCCCGACCTCAGCCTGGGAGTGCAAGTGGAAAACATGTATACATGTGAGGGGTTCATAACACAGTCACACCTCAGGGAAAATATAAATATGAGGACAGAAACTTTTCAAGGTTTAGTATTCAAAAAACTCTTCAAGCCATTTAACAATAAAAGGAATGCTTTTCCTTAGATTCCATTTTGGAGACTTACTGTCCACTGTTCACATCATGTGAGGGCGCTGTAACCAGTCTCGGTACCTGATCAGGCATTATGCTCCAGAAAATGTGTGCATGCAATGTCATGAGGTAAGTCTAGTCAAAGGAAGTATGTTTCCTTCTTCAACTTAGTTTTGCTTATTGTTCATGGTCGTACACTGGAATGCCAGTGAGGTTTTGTGATGGAAATGAGACGTCTGATTACTGATTACTGATAGTCAATGATCTTATGTAATCAAATATGCAGTAGCCTTTTCCTGGCAATAAATGTGTTAAGTTCCTCTCTTCTTGTAAAACAGATCAATATATTCCTACAACTGAAGTTTTCACAAGAATGTGAAACACATAGTTATGAAGCCAGCATTGACCTGAAGTCATCCTGATGGTCTAGGGTTTTAAAGCCAGATTCACAAACTGAAAAATCTGGTTCACTGTAATTTTACTCTGTCAGGGTGACTTACTGCGTAACCAAAAGTCCAGTTGATATTCGAATAGTGGAGAACTTAGGGTTTAATGGTGTTGAAAAAAATCATCTTATAAATGTCAAGGATCGATACTGGCTTCCAATAACAATGCTACATAAAATGGTTCAATATCACTTTAAAAACTCTTCAATGATCAATACTGGCTTCCAATGACGATTTTGCATAAAAGGGCTCACTATCACTTTAAAAACTCTTTTAGTTTTGGCTTTATCATGTGTGTCATTACTAATGTTCATTGCAAATATATATGTGGGGTATATATTCAGAAAAACCCCAACAAGAAATATTTTCAACGGTTTATGTTGTACTCAATGTTGGCAACATGCAGTGCAGTGTCTCCATGTGAGACTACGGCATGCACAAGTATCGAATACTGGCTACGGCTCTCCACCGCTGCCTCTTTTGAGGCAGGAGACAGGACTGGATTATGGCTACCCCTGTCATGCGCCGTCCCATACAATCCTATGTATTAACTAAACTGATACACAGGCAGTGCTGGGTGAACATACGTGAAGTTCATGTTGACAAAAAGATCATGCACTAGCCTACAGGTGGTGTATCCCATGTGACTGTATTTCAGCTAACCAGGATAAAGAAGCATCGAGAGGTGCATTTCAATAAATTTTAGTTCAACATAGGAAGCTATCTGAGCCTTCATCTTTGGGAATATTTTACCGAGATTCTACCCACTAAGCCTGCTAATACTATGTTAGCATCCTGTATGTACATGTCATGTATGCTTTGGTCAGGGTTGTTCTTTGGTCACTCTGACAGTGTAGAGGAGCCCGATCTACGTGTGACACATGGGAGAGTTTTAGAATCCAGGTACAAGCTCGTTTTGTCCATGGAAGTACTGAGTGGGAGAGAACTATTTGGGGCTTGTGTAGGAGAGAGAACTGTTGAAGAGTAGGTGATTTTGTCAACTTATCAAGTGCAGTCGCGTTGCGACTGACAAGCGAGTAGAGACAACCACTGGAGGTACAAGGCTAGTCAACCAAACGTCGGTCAAGAGCCATGGTCTAAAGAGACACTTTCCACTAATTGTGGACCAGTCTTCACACAGTATCACCCTCATGTTCAATTTTTTTCTCCCTAAAATTACCGTGACCATTTTACTAATTGATAGAAAGGGCCTCCCTTGATTGATCCCTGTGAGTTCCAACCAGTATTGAATGGTCACAAACGGGCATACATGGGTGGCCTTGTGGTGTGATGTGACTGTGTTCCAGATTATGACAAGAACAGTCTACATGTCTACTGTAATCATGCATATGGGTATGGTAGGGGAATCTAATGAGCATGGTGACTTTCAAGTGAGGCTAGTCTAGAGCTTCAGGAATAATTGGAAAGCCAATTGTTCCATATAGCTTCCTTTGTTACATTTCCATTTCAAGTGAATACATCTCTGGGTTTGAGAAGTGGCCAAGCCCGTCAATACACTATACATACTTGGGTTGAAACCAGAGTGTTGCGAGTCCCTATCAGAGGCAGATCTGCCCTCCTCTTTACTAGCTCCTCCCCTTCCACCTCCATCTGCCCCACCAGGATGATCAGCTGATTCTGAAAGTCACATCAATCCAGGTATGTCCATTTATAATGTTAGGTTTAACTTTGACGGTTGCTGACATCGATTTCAAAATCGCAGATGCTTATGCAATGACATATATCCCTCAGAATAAATTCAGGCATTTCTTGATGGGAAGTCTGAGTTGCTACATTGTTGAGTTAGAGCCCAAAATTTTAGGAGAAGAAATGAAAATAGGAAAAAAAAATTAATTAAACTTACTCTAACAAGGTAGTAATTATGTATTATTGTAGCTCACTGCGGGGAATATGTCTAACATATTAAAGAAAAGAAAAACACAACTTACTAATGTTGTTTGTATGCCTAATTAACCTTTGAATTAATTAAAAACAAGCATGACAGATGTTGTAGGCTATCTGCTGCATGTCTGAGGAAGAGTTTGTATGTTTTTACACAGCTGGGACAGCTATATGGTATCTATTGGGAGGAGGGTCAGGGTCAAGTACTCTTGGCAAACATTTTTGAGCATGTAAGGTCACTTGTTGTGGAACTGTCATGACTGTTACCATGGTTACTGTTATGTACATTTTATAATATTTCTCGTTGCACCACTGTCTCATATGTTCTTAGCATGATACTGTGAAAACTTGATGAATTTGTTGCATGAAATAGAGCAGTAACGCCCTTCAATTATGGGACTCAACTTAAGACACAGCCTTGGAGTCTGAATCCATAACTCAGTTCACTGGTAATGAAGTCAACATTTCGGAAACTGAGAGTTCCATCATGGAGGAATAGGTTTCTTATTCCTACATGGTTCTATACACGGACATCACACCAGGATTTACACAAAGCAAGTGTTTAAGATTCAACAGTGTTCAACATTTTCACTGCTAAATTTGAAGTTTTAGTTTGTGTTATCACTTTTTGGTGGTTTATAAACCACTGCAAAGGAATATAAGTTAATTTATTATAAGTTTTGTCCGTTTTTGTTGTTTATCGCAGCGCAGGCTAGTACCAGTGCCTACCCGCATTAGCCCAAATATCCGGGTCTGCAATGTCCAACGCGGGGTTCCACCGATTTTGCATAAAGCCAAGCCTATCCTCTTTTCAAAGAATTCCACGATATATGAATGAGGTTTTTTGCTTGAAAGGCTTCCAAATTAAACATGGCTGATGTGAAATGACCTACCTTCAGATGACATTTTCTATAGGCCTTCATGGGCCTACTTACCACGACTTAATTTGGGAAGAATGTGTGCGTCTGTATATATATGTACGTGTCTCCGCTTCGATAAAAAGCGCCCTCTTGCATTAATTTAACATGACAGGTGGAGAGTACCACTCCGTGTGCATATATATTGTAATTACAATAAGAACAGCGAGGGATGAGCCCTGTTATATCCAACTAGCCAGCTGACTAAACCGGGTATTTGAAGTGTACGATTTAATTGATTTGTGTTTTTGAGGGCATTGGTTATAACTGTGCCATTTTCTGTTTGTATCTTAAGAAATTTTCATTTTCTGATTGTTGTTTTGTGTTTATTTTAAATACTTAAAATTTTTAATGCTCTAATGTTTTATTTATTGAATAGTCAAGCTGTGTGTTCTATGGCAAATTAGCCTCCGGGCTACAATCACAGTGTTTGAAATAAATCATCATCAGTAATAATAATAACACGATGCACCAGCGTGGCCAATTTATACGAGTACTTCAGGACGACGGAATTTTTCCTAAGACTTAGCGGTAACGTCTGGCCTATTGTAACGGCAAAACAAATTTGCTCTTTCCTCATTTATTTCTGGAAATTGGGCATTTGTATTTATGTCCCACATTTGTATTTATCTCCTGCAGTGCCCTTTGAACCTTAAAAATGCTTTTAAAAATCTATTAACGCCGGTGAAACTAATTGTGAATTTTCCGATATTAATGTGCCATTTACATCCGATTCAAGGGGTTGAACAGACAGCATTATATCAGATCAACGTATTGCAAAGTATGAGTGAGAGCTGTAGAGATGAGGATGTCGGATTACAGGCCTTTGATTACTCCTAGAGGAAGAGAAACGGTAGCACCATTGACCAAGTCTCTAAGGACACAACTGCCTATAATTTATTAAACGTGCTGAATTAATGACATTGGGTGGTACTGTTCACATAACGGATCCATGGGGAAACAGAGCCGCTCCTTAAAGAGGAGCAAGTGTTTGGTTATGATTTTTGAGAATAATGCACAAATCCCGTTTTTGGGACTATTTCATTTCTATTCTTTCTAAATCCTGTAAAATTCCCCCGAAAACTTACCCCCGACAATTTGGTTCTGGATGCTTAGGTGTGCTTTATTCCAATTCAAACGTTAGGCGCATGCTCCACAAACAATATCAAAGAGTTAGTGAAGTTTCTAGACTGTTAAAGGTTACACTATACTGTAAAAATTTCAATCAGAATTGCTATTGTTTTTGCACTTGCATGGAGGGTCTTATCTGTGGTTAAAGTTGTTTACAGTGTTTTTATACTGATTCGACAAGGAATTAACAAACACACACTGTGCATTATTTACAGCAATTTACTACCCCATTCTTTACCAAGCTTTCAAACTGGAAGCTGGAGACACCTTTTGAACATTTTGTTACTGATACTTTAAAGATGTCTTCATCACGAAAACTGAATACGTAATTGAAAGAAGGGCTCAACTCCAACAAACCCTTTTTGAGATCAAAAGAAAAAACTTGAAGGAGCTGCAAAGGAAATCAATGGCCTCTCCCAGGCCAAAACATGTAATATTGAAAGCAATGTCCCTGATGCAAAACATTCAAGCCCCACTCAAAACAGCGTAAAATCAAAAAGTTCAATGACAAATTGCCTGCAGGCCGACGTTACTAGGGTTTCTCAACAAAACTAATTTGTCTTATCTGTCTTCCATTTCTTTTCAAGTTTTTGGTGTGTTGGCAAAATAAGTTTTTAAATAATCACACCGAAGAAAATAAATCATCCAGAAAAGTGACCATAATTCCACGAACTTAGGCAGGAGAGTCAATACACATTCAGTGGCACAAAAGTTGGAACGTTAATTACGGCACTTTAATTTTTCGTCCTAATCTTTTGTCAACTGATTCCGCTTGAACCGTCTGAGTAACTATTTCGGTATTTCAATTACATCATTAACAAGTTTATTTGTTTAAGCGCTATCTCCAGTGACTTTAGATATTCAAAACCACGCCCACAAGCCTTTTTTCGGGGGGGGGGTGTCAATCAGGTTCTCTATTCGAGATCACTTATAACAAACGTAGCGCTGGATAGTTCAATTGGTAGAGCACCGGTATGGCGTTCCGAAGGTCAATTTCTCGGTTCATAGAAATGTAGAACCAAATATTTGAGTCAAAGAACAATATGACCAAATTTCGGAGCAATTTGTTTACTCTAATCATAAACAAATACGATCTGTATTTGTGTGTTTTCACCGAGCGAGGTACTTCTTTAGCAGCGCTGGGCACTGGAAGAATGAGAGCGTTTACATATTTATTTCCCACGACCTTGAAAAGAGCTGTGCTCTTGTAATAATAATAGAAACAACTATTTTTCTAGAGATGGCAAACGTGAACAATGTCGTGGCAAAAAGTTCAGCTGTTTTCAAGAAGTTTATAAAAGGTGTAATGAATTACTTTTAACAACCAAGTGTGAATTAACACAGAACAAAGAATGCATTACAAGACATGACAACAAATTCCCAATCCATTACATACAGGCGGATAAATGTGTCTTCGAAAAAGAGTTTTTTGTCAGTCTGTGAAAACATCGACAGCGTTTAATGGTTACAAGGTGGTAATAAATTTTGTGATGATCAAATGAATATCAACCTATAGCAGATGTCTCGACCAATCACTGATGCCTAGCTTTAAAAAAAAAGTAATATTTGGTCAAAATGTGTATCTATAAAACCATGTGGAACTGGACACCCACTAGATGCATGAAAATCCTGCTCGGGGGTTTCCCGGACCAAGGCCTCAACCTCACCTCTGCCAGGTAGATCAATCCATTCATTCCCACATGAAAATACAGATTATATCCATTAAAAAAACGAAAAAAGACCTTGGGATTATGGCGCCCTCTAAATGACCGCACCACAATCATTAATCTACCGGTACAGCTCATTCGATTACTTCCTTCACGCGTAGGCCTACCCGTGGTGTCATCGTAGGTTTAGTCGGGTATGCGAAACAACCATGTAGTAATGAACGATCTTGCTGTACTCAAAAGTGCCTATACCAGGTCAAGAGGTCATACAATGATTAAATTTACAAAACAAATCTAAATTGTCGACAGTGACAAACGATCAAACAAACTGTATGTTCTTAACATTCTTTTACAGAACTAACTAATTGGCAACTAATCAGCTTTGACGCTAGTTTTAGATCCCTCAGCTAAATTCCCAGCGTTTGTGAGCTCAATGCCAGAGTCCATTTCGCCCTGTTCCAAATCCAGGTCCAGATTTTGGGCGTGGTCCTTCCCCACTTCCATTTTCTTGCGGGAAAAGAGAGCTACAACAGCTCTACGGTACTTCCTGTAGTCCAGTAACAATATTATTGGCATGATCGCGTGCGTAGAATATGTCAAGAAAGCAGCAACAATCAGGAATTCATCTGGTGGGATTATACCGCTTGTGGGCTCCAGAGTCTGGAGACATTTGGCAACCATGTAAGGAACCCAGGTCAAGAGGACAAGTAACAAAATCCAGGTAAGAGTACGGACTAAGGCGGCTTCGTTTGCCCGGTAGCGCTCTGCCTTCTGCTTGTTCTTAGCTTCCTTGTACTTTTTGTAAGAAGGACGTTCGTCCTCATCCGATGATGATGATGATGATGATGATGACGACGACGACGACGACGACGACGAAGATGAGGAAGATGACTGGTCATCTTTTTTTTCTTTTTTCTTTTTCTTTTTCCCCTTCTTTTTCTTCACTTTCTTGAGCTTCCTTTCCCTGATGGTTTGTTTAAGTTCTCGCTCTTTTCTCTTCATTTTGCGTCCATAAGTCTCCTGAATTCCTGTTTTGCCTTGGTCTCCAAGAACGTCGAGAGCGCCGACTTTGCGTTTCTTGGCGGCAAATCTTATAACGGTGACCAGACAGACTAGGGATGTGAGGACGGGTAGCAATAATGTCAAAACCAGGGTGAACCCCATGTGACTTAGATGTCCTTGCCAACCACCCGGGCTAATCCAGCACTGACGTTGAAGAGGAAGATAAGCGTATTCGCCCCAGCCAACTAATGGGAAAAGGGCAAGCACCATAGCAAAGAACCAGAGTCCGCCGACAAGGATGACGGTCACCACTGTTGTGAAGATCTCAGCGTGTTTCAAGGGTCGACAGACCTTGAGGTATCTCTCGAAGAACGCCACGCCCATAGTGTGGACGGTCAAGTGGAAGGCAAAGCAGGAGAGGTAAGCGCTGAGTTGGCATACAAGGTCTCCTAAAAGCCACCCATTCACAAAGAAAGCAACTGTATTTGGGATCAGGGCTGTCACTGCCACTATCAAGTTTGCTACTGTCATATTCAACAGAAGGAAAGCTGGCCCTGGACTTCTTAAGCCGGGGAAGCGTGCAAATAGAGCCACCATCAGTGAGTTGGCCAAAATGGCACACAGTGTTATAACACATGACAAGCTACCGAGCCCTGCGTTCAGAGCAAGAGAAGAATCAGTAGTCGTATTGGTACTGGTGTCATTGAGGGTCGTATCATTGCTGTAGTCCATAAATGACGACGGGGAGGTGACATAGTCAGAGTAGTCGGTCACAGCTGTCGTGTTGTCCGTGTCATTCATGGTTGCACAACTTTATACCATAGAGCTTCCATTTACAGCTTCAAACATCCATCACGCACAATCACCTCTGCCTATGGTCGTGATGAGGCATTATTAACTCTACTCAGTCTACCCGGATATGGCTAATATTTTGGCTGGTAAATCCTGCCGAAACATTTCCAAGATCCGGGCTGCTTCACAAGATCCCAAGGATGCTCCAAAGTTGGTGTTCTGTCTACGGTGAATTATTAAGAACCTCTGTGTCACAAAATAATGGTCGTCGTGTTCCAAAGTTCTTTTACTACACATGCCTGGCCCCCACACGACGACAAACTCACCACAGCATGTACATGTACATGTAGCTTCGAAGAACGTACGATGCATGTTGCTTACGTGTAACTAACGCAATACAATGTAGGCCATTCAGTACTCCATGCCAACGGTGATATGTTTGGTAAACAAAGTCCACAAAGACGTGCTTGTAACTTACACTTACTGTCAAAGAGGCTAAGTACTCTACATGCATGTACATGCATGGTATGAAACACGATGATTTATATGACATGTATTTGCAAACCCCGCACATTAAGAATAATTCTAGTTTAAAATCTGTGGAAAAGAGTATTGATCTACTGTAGATCCCGGCACCAAATTCTGAGGACTAAAGTTTAATTGAATTTAGTTGGGAAACCTGTACTTCTCACATTCAGGCTGAAATTGTAACAGTTTCCGTCTGATATTTGATACACCTTTATGGAAAATGATCAATTTTTCTGCCGAACCATGCATATTATAGTAGTTTAGTTGAAAATATTTGATTTTGTTGCCTCCAACGCCGCGAATTTGCAAGGAATGAGGGCGCACTTGATAGAAGCTAGTAAACGGTGACTGTCGGATCTTTTCCCTGAAGTTGTTCAACAACCAAGAAAAAAAATCAGCGAGAAACCTACAACTTCTGCGGTAACTGGCATCGCGAAATAGCTGATTGAAAACTGCGTTGAATTGTTAACATATAACTGAGAATTAAGTGTTTTAGTGGCATTAATAAGACTTTGTAAAAGAAATGGAAAGGTAGAAAACAGTGCGTAGGTGGAGTAATAAATTACTTTCAGCGTCTGCGCCCGCGTCTTTTCTGGCAATCTTATGGATTTATTTTCATATTTCACCACACGAAAAAATCAGACAAAAAAGCAAGCATGCCACCTAAACCTTCAAAACATTAAGCACTGAGGGTCACTTTTCATAATCCTCCCACTATATCTCTGAACATACTCGGATGCACAGAAGCTGTTGTTTTAACATTTTTGTGAAACCGTGTTTAACCCAGCCCCTCCGAGGGTGTAAGTAAAATCATAATGAAATCAGAGTATTGAGGACTGCAGCGCTTAAACATAATAAACAAACGATATAAATCATTTCAACTGCGCTCAACTCTTTTGTCTACCCTATTTCTTGCATTTTCCTGTCTTTAAACAATGGAAACATTATGGCTGTTGGAAATTTCAAAGAGAATGGCGGCCATTTAAAGTATAAGATAGCCCTATCTCCTTCTCTTTTCAAATACCCTGGTGTTTATAGGTTTTTCCCGCCAATTTCAGTGAAACGCCATTCACTGTAACACGAGACCCATTTAAATTCATTTAAAACGAATTCGAGTATGAGAATTCTTTCGGAAAATACGTTCAGTCGACTCCAAATAATCGTTTTGTTCATTCATATTTGTCAAAGGAAATGGATTGATCGAGCATTCGATATTAACAAAAATATACACAAAAATACACAGTAAAGTTAACACACACAGCAAAGAACAAAACTTCCTAAAATGACCCAAGAGACAGTCGTAAATACAAACAAAAATTTGAAAGCTGAATGGAATTATTCACAATCATCAAAACAATGATTATTAAATATCTTACAGCAGGCTTACTGCGAAAGACATTGCTCCTGTAATCACATCGAACACTTGTAATGAAATAGATTTACTTGTCAACGGAAAAAAGCACAAACATATGAAAGAGCCAAAAAAAAGTTGATATAAAACGTAGGAATGATAAAAGTGTAGTTTTGAATGCTACGTATGAACGATGCTGAACAGGATGCCAACTTGACTTGTGTGTGCACAAAAACAGCAACTGAGTGTCAAAAAAGGGCAAAAGAAATCCCAGAACGAGAGTCAAAAATTTCCACGAATTGAAATGCATGTGGACGAGAATGAACGGATCTTCACTGAAATTGGGCGAGAAGACCTTTATTATTTTATTACCAGGCCTTAGGTGTTTTGGTAAATTGATCTTTAAGACACCTGACGTGGGGCGCCACCTGTACTACGAGGTTTTGTTTGTCTCCAATCTTCAACACACTTTTTACCATGATATTCATCATCCCTGAAACCTTTGAATGGTACGTTGAATATTATTATTATTATTATTATTATTTTACACATTTCGTGAAGTTTATTTTGTTTATACAAACTTGTACTGGCATGGATTCATCATTACATAGCAATAGGCTGCTAATTCAATATTATTTTCATCAATGTTTCCCGCCACTCCTGGAGCGTGGAAATGGTTGCCAAACTTGCTTAGCAATAATTCACTGTCTCGTGACAGTCGTAGTCATGGGGAAATGAACGAAATAGGAGAAAATATGAGAAAAATAATGAACAAAACTGAACAAAAACCCATGATGTCCAAAATTAGGTTTTGAAAAAAATCTTAGTGCAACATCAACATGTGATAACAACTTGTTGTTTTCTACAGAATACAACACTAAACGAACTTTTAAGAATTGACGTCAATTTATCTGAATTTGAATATTTAAATGTTCCATAAACCTCCAGTGGTATCACTACCAGTGCATGTACATCACGAGATTTTTTGAATTACATTTCATAGTTATGCCATTGGACGTCGAGTGATTGATATCACAGATGCAAAAACACTGGAGAAGGAAACGAGAACATCCGTCATGAAATTTTACTTAACCAAGCTCATATGTAACGCAATGTAGTGTGCCAGTCTGGACCGGATTTCAACGAGTTGTTCCTGGTTTGCGCGGGCACACGCGTCATGACCAGGGTCAAGCTTACACTTAACTAGGGTGGCAGGTGAAAGTTTAACAACTTTCACCTAAATTGTGGTTTCCAGCCGGTTGGAACGGATAGCGTGGAGTAGATGATGTCATATTACGCTGTTCGTCAACTAGTATGATGGGCTCACTAATATCCCGTTTGTTAGGGAAAATTCACGCTTTACTTTACATGAAAAAGAAAACAACGCTAAGCTTGGAAGAAATGATCCCAAAAATGATCCTCTGAAAACAAATTCACTTGTTCGAGGTACGTATTAACGTAAGACTTTTTCAATACAATTCATGTTTTACCACGGAGGAGTGAAATATTAACTTGTAAATACTTGAAAGAACAAGCCATTTAACCACAAAAAGTATGAACGGTTCATTATTTGGAACAACTTCTTTTTGTGCCACATTATATAAGCGCCAATTTACGTGATCGGATGCCGCGCGAAAAGGAAGCAAAAAATGATTATTTACGAACAATTCTGAGGAATTTTCGGGAAATTGACAATTTACATCCCCTTCTCTCTTTTTCTCTCTCCAGTTTTCTTCCATTTCCCCCATTCCCGCATTTTAGCCCCGAACGTAGAAAAGTCAACGTTGGTCTTGTCCACCACTCGTTAACAGCGCCAAGTGCACCGTTTTATCTCACGCATACAAGGCTCCTGTGACGGAGTTACACTGTTTATGCCACAAACTTAGGAGATTAAGAAGGGAATAAATGTGAGAGGCTTGTGCCCTGTACACTCAATGGCTAAATATGGATATAGAGAAACTAAAACTTGCTTTTTATCAATGATGATAAAAAGAGTTGAATAGTTTCCACTCAATCTGCTTCAGAATAACCCGGAAATGTAAAGTCTGCTGTATATTTGGGAACAGAAACTACTCAAGTTGAATTAAATTTAGCCTTTGGAAGAACGAACGAGACGTTCAGTACATGCCATGCCCGGAAAACAAACAATACCCGTTTTAATGTTCGATGATGTTGAGTTTAAGTTTCGATGCTGTAACAGAAAAAATACTTACATGTCAAGTCAGTTACAGGTCTATTTTAAAATTTAATGAGGTAAGCTGAGTTGCCATGGTAACGATTTGTACATGACCCGACGGGAAGGAGGTCGCGCCTCGAAGAGGCACTGGAGCTCCGAGTTCGTTCACTATACCGGTACAGCCCCAAACTGCGGCCCACGACTATGTGCATTCCTTCCACTTTTGTAATTTCATCAGATATGTACTGATAATATAGTTTACTTGTTTTGAACGCTCGTTTTTCTGAGGCATGACCAGCTCAAATCGATCTCTTCTGGGGTTTATACAAAAAATTATGAAATATCTGATTATGGCCTATAATATATTTCTTTTGGTGGAGTTTGATACAAAATTGTCGAGACTTCGGATTTGCAGTTTCATTATTCAACCACACTGGTAAAGGCTGATGTACACGAGAATTTGGCACAGAGTGTATGTACACGACGATTCTTCGTGAGGTCGTGATGTTTTTGATCACATTCATAGAAGTCGAACACTTTTTAACTCCGGCAAATTTTACCGCAAATGTTTCGTGCTGTCAATTTGCTTAACCGTCGTATTCGCATATAAATCGACCTGAAAATGTCAGTACATAAGGTATTATGGAGGTAACTAACTGAAATTTATGAGAGCACCCGGGCTGCACACATTATTTCAAGGGGACTGAAAGTAACTGAACGGTGGCTATGGGCGGTATGCATTTCAAAAGTTCAAATGGGAGGTACTCAGAAGGGCACTGACTCTCCCAGGGAGCGTACGTAGTTACGGTGAGCCACTTGGTAACCATATGGTAACTAGGTAGTTTCTGCAATTTGTACTCATTCTCAAGCAAACCAAATTTACAGCATCGACAACTCAGGTGCAAGACCCGAGGTCTTGCATTAGGTTATTACTTAATTGTTGCCTTGGCCTTAGACTCGAATCCTTTTGTTTGTTTGTTGGGGTGCTTGTTTGTGTATTTTTCGTTCTCCTTTCACGTTACTGAACGTAACCCAGCAAGTCTCTCCGATTACGCTTGCGGTTTATTGCACCTGGACCAGTTTGCGTAGTTACAGCGTACTAGAAGCATGGAAGTTAGCATTGATAATATGGCTAACGGATGTTTTAACATCAGTACTTGATACTGAATTCGTCCGGTCATATGTCCGGTGTCTTTTTCCTATACCTGTTTCCCCGTATACATTCTTGTTACTTTGATAGAATCTGACCTTCATGATGACGTCCGGGTCGGCTCAATCACCCCAACCCTGGATTATCAGGACTGTCCGGAAAAACGCACATTTGTCCAA